TTTGACAGAAAGAGAGAGACAATGAGAGAGGGAACACTTGTTCCCTCCCACAAGCTGGAAGTGGGAGAGGGAGAAGCAGGCTTCTTGCTGAGCAGGGACCCCGATGTGGGGCCCGATGTGGGGCTCGATCCCAGGATGCTGGGATCATGACCTGAGCCGAAGGCAGATACTTAACGACTGAGCCACCTAGGCGCCCCAAGGGACAGTGACTTTTAGATTCATCTGGGTTACATGCATTAAGAGTTCATTCCTCTTTTATTTTTTGTTTATTTTTTAAAGATTTTATTTATTTATTTGTCAGAGGGAGAGCACAAACAGGGGGAGTGGCAGAGGGAGAGGGAGAAGCAGGCCCCCTGCTGAGTAAGGAGCCCAATGCAGGACTCGATCCCAGGACCCTGGGACCATGATCTGAGTTGAAGGCAGATGCTTAATGACTGAGGCACCTGGGCATCTGGGCACCCCAAGTTCATTCCTCTTTTAAAATTTACTTAAAATTTTGAAAAATTGAGATAGAACTGGCATAGAACATGAGTCTTAGATGGACCATAATTTGTTCTTGTTTATTACTTGGATGGGCCACCATTTGTTTATCATATGCTGATGGTCTTCTACTTCCTTCTTATTTTGGGCTGTTGCATAAAACTGCTATGAATGGTCCTGAGCAAGTCTGGCAGTAAACATGTCTTAGAGAAGTTCTCTTGGGTAAATACATAGGAGTGACATAGCAGAATCATACAGTAAGTGTCCATTTAACTTAAGAAACTGCCCAATTGTCTTCCAAAGTCATTGTGCCACTTTCCACTCCCACAGGCACTCTGTGAGAGTTTCAGTTCCTCCGAGTCCTTGTCAACACTTGGTATGGTCAGACTTCAATTTTAGCCATTTTGGTGGGTGTGTCGTAATATGACATTGTGGCTAGATTTGTGTTTCTTTGAGGACTAATAATGTCAAACATCTTTTCTTGTACTCATTGACCATTCTATGTCTTCCCCGTGCTGAATTTCAAACTGCATAAAGGTAATATTTATTTAAAAGTAAATGATCACACCCACTGGGACAGCTTGTATCAAAAAACAGAAGACAACAAATGTTGGCAAACATGTAGAGAAACTGGAACTCACTATTCACCCAGGGGCTACAACCACCTCTAAACCCCTTCCCATAATTACCCCAATACCTGGGGTCCATGAACTGACCCGTTGGCTCCGAATATGGCCACTTCTCTCCATCTCCATGCTATTACATGAATGAATTTAAGCCACCATAACTTCTCCCTGGCCTCCCTGAGGCCATTCTTACCCACCATCCTTAGCCCCCTATACATTCTGCACACAGAAACCAAATGATCTTTCACCAAAATTCTTCAAAACCAACTTTTTATTTTGAAATAATGATCAAGTTACAGAGGATTTGTGCTAAGGACTAAATGTTTGTGTCTCCCCTAAATGCATGTGTTGAAACCGAGCCCCCAATGTGATGGAATAGAAGGTGGGACATATGGCAGGTGATTAGATCACGAGGATGGAGACTTCATGAATGGGATTAGGACCCTGTAAGAGAGCTGGTGATGTCTCTCTCCCTCTCTCTTTCTGTCTCTCTCAGCCACGTGAGGATATAGCGAGGAGGCGATTGTCTACAATCTAGGAAGTTGTCCCTCACAGACACTGGCTATGCCAGTGCCTTGGTCTTGGACTTCACAGCCTCCAGAACTGAGAGAACTGAGAGAAATAAATTGACCCCGTCTATAGTATTTTTATTATGGCAGCTCAACAGGCTAAGATAATCTGCAAAATTGGCACCCTGCAAAGTTGCAAAGTTGCAAAGTTCTTGTCTACCCTTCACCCCATTGGCCCGAATGTTAACATCTTACATAACTATGGTACAGTTGTCACAACTAAGAGATTAACTAACATTGGCACAATACTGTTCATTAAACTACAGGCTTATTATGAATTACACCAGTTTTCTCTCTGATGTCTTTTTCTGGTCCAAGATCCCATCCAGGACATCACATTTCATTTATTGCATTTCCTAAGACTTCTCTAATCTGTGCCAATTTCTTCGTCATGCTTTGTTTCTCTCAACCTTGGCATTTTTTAAAAAAAGATTTATTTATTTACTTGAGAGAGAGGATGCAAATGGAGGGGAGGGGCAGAGGGAGCGGGGGAGAGAATCTCAAGTTGCCAACACCACAGTGAGCACAGAGTCCAACACAGGGCTCAGTCTCAGGACTACGGGATCATGACCTGAGCTGAAATGAAGAGTTGGACCTTAACGAACTGGGCCACCCAGGTGCCCCCTCATGACCTTGACATTTCTGAAGTGTCCTAACTAGGTCTTTTGTAGAATATCCCTCAGTTTGGGACAAACGTCTTGTCTTTTCTCATGAGTGGACTGAGGTTATGGATTTAAGGGACAATATCAGAGACATGATGTGTCTTCTTCATCACACCGTATCAGGGGTCCATGCATATGACTCATTGCTATGATGATAATTTTTTTAAAGATTTTTGTTTGTTTGTTTATTTGAGAGAGAGAGAGAGAGAGAGAGAGGGAGTGCAAACATGAGGGGAGGGCAAAAGGAGAAGCAGGGTCTCCGCTGAGTGGGGGAGCCCGATGCAGGGTTTGATCCCAGGACCCCAGGATCATGACATGAACTGAAGGCAGACAGTTAACTGACTGAGCAACCCAGTGCACCCCCCCAACCCATGATGATAATGTTCATTACCTGCTTGCGGTAGTATCTGCCAGGTTTCTCCACTATCAAGTTACTTTTTGCACTTTCCATACTTTTATTCCTTAGACACAAGTCCACACCCAACAAGGTGAATTAAGCTCCACCGTGTGCTCGGGCAGGGTTCAGGGGTGGGGAGAGGTAGAGAGAAAGACAGAATCTCAAGCAGGCTTCACCCCCAGCCCAGAATCTGAGGCAGGGCTCAATCCCAGGACCCTGAGCCAAAATCAAGAGTCAGACACTTAACCTACTGAGTTACCCAGGTGCCCCTGTGAACATATATTTTTAAGAACCCAGCAAATAAATATTTTAGGAGACATACTTTTAGGGTAGGCAAATGTCACGTTTCCTCCTTGAAGTTTCATTCACTAATTTTAACGCTCATTGGTAGATTTTGACTGCTGCAATTATAACTATGATGTCTGCCTGATAATGATTTTTTAATTTCCCTCATTCCTTCTATACTTATTAATTGGACATGTTCTATATGGAAGGGTCGTCTCTTTCCCCCCATTTTTTTTTAAAGATTTTATTTATTTATTTGACAGAGAGATCACAAGTAGGCAGAGAGGCAGGCAGAGAGAGAGGAAGGGAAGCAGGCTCCCTGCTGAGCAGAGAGCCCGATGCGGGGCTCGATCCCAGGACCCTGGGATCATGACCTGAGCTGAAGGCAGCGGCTTAACCCACTGAGCCACCCAGGCGCCCCTCCCCCCATTTTTTATTCAATCATTTATTTACACCAGTATGGCTTCATTGGTATTTATTTCTTTGGATCATGATGATCTTTTATTATTAGTTTTTTTTTTTTAATCTCTTCATCCAACATGGGCCATGACCTCCAGGCCCTGGGATCAAGAGCTGCATGTTCTACCCACTGAGTCAGTGAGATACCCCATGGATCACAATCTTTTAAATCTCCCAGCAGATTCCATCATACACTAAAAATCTTCCAGAGACTTCCCTTTATGCTTAAGAGTAAAATCTAGCTATCTTGCTTACCAACACTCCCTGCCTGCTTCCCTGTCCTTGTCTGTTTTCCTTGCTTATTTTTTCCCTTGTTCATTCCTGCTTTGGCCCAAACTGGACTTTCTGTGGTCTCTCAGTCACGTCACCCTCATCCCTCTGAAGGCTTTGTCTTTGTTGGAATATTCTTCTTCCTCACCTGCACAGGGCCCCTCTATGACTGCCCTGAGCAGCCTTCTTCCTTCCCTTTGATTTCTAATCCTACCTGGAATTAGGTAACCAAAAATCTATTTCCTTCTTTATCACCTGTCTTGTTCACCAGCTCTAGAATATAGTAGGCGCTCAATAAATATTTGTTGACTAAATTAATGCATAAGGCTGGACAAATGAGAAGACCGAGATCCATTCACTTCTTCCCTGATTATAGTTACAACTGAGGTATATGCATGTCAGGTACTCAGGAGCACTACGCTGTAAGCCTCAGTTTCATGACAATGAAATGACCCTTGGAGTAATATATTATTATTTATAAATTTATTATTTATAATAATAAAAGGACCTATCTGCAAAACTGTTGCGAAGATTAAATGAGCAAACGCCACAAGAAGATGATACTTCTAGCAGACATTCAATAATTATTACTGTCATCTGTAAAATGGGCACAACAGTGACCTACTACATAGAATTGTTGTAAGCTCAGAACCATGTCTAGCACATGTAAAGTGCTATATAAGCCATCGATGCTATCGTTATCATCATCTCTGCCCCCGCTCATCTGAAAGATGTTTTCATCGACTCTCATCTTTTTTTTTGCAAATCCCTTTCCTTGGCCTGGCCCGGCCTGTGATGGCCCCAGGATAGTCGCCAGGCCTCTTTGCATCTGGATAGGGCGCTGTGGGGACTCCGGCCCCGTCTGGACCACAGGCTCCCATCGCCCCGCCCACGGGCCTGGACCGCCTGCGGTCTCCATGGAAACCCACCAGCCACAGTGGGGCGTGACGCCGCCGAGAGGGATAGGGGCCCTCGCCTATCCGGTCGAAGTCGCCTCGGCAAGGGGTGCAAACCGGGCCTCTTGACGGGTGCGTCCTTGCGGAAAGGCGGGAATACGGCGGCGAACCACATGGTTTGTACCATCTCAACCAATCAAGGGCCGAGGTGGCTATGATGGACAGGCCTAGCGGGAAGAGGCACCGAATGCGGGCTTTCATCCAACCGACCGACCGCAATGCCGAGAAAGGGCCAATGAGGAGGCGGCGGGGGTGGGACAAAAAGGCCGGTTGCTCCGGAAGTGGAGGGAGGGGGTGAAAATGGCGCCCAGCTCGAAATCGGAGCGGAACAGCGGGGCCGGGAGCGGCGGCGGCGGCCCCGGGGGCGCCGGGGGGAAGCGGGCAGCAGGGCGGCGGCGGGAGCACGTCCTCAAGCAGCTGGAGCGGGTCAAGGTAAGTCCTGGAGTCTTGGAGGAGCGCGCCGGAGGGTAGGGAGAAGGGACGAGGGAGGCGGAGGGAAGGAGGCGTTCGCGGGGTGAGGGGTTGGGGGCGGAGCCCCGGGGGAGGGGGCTCGGAGGAAGGGGGCTGGGCGGGGCCCGGGGGAGAGGGCTTGGATGAAGGGGGCTGGGACGGGGGTTTGGATGGAGTGCACTGGGGGCGGGTTCCGGGGGAGAGGGCTCTGATGGAAGGGTTGGTGTGGTGGCTGAGAAAGGGCTTGGAGAGAGGGAGGTCGCTGGAGGAATAAGAAGGAAGGGGGCGATCCAGGGTCAGACTCATTTTTCAAAACCCTGCTCCCATGGCCCCTCCGTTACGGAGCTTTCCCGCCCCCTTGGCGGAGCCCCTGCTACCGGCTTTGGGCTTCCTCTACCTGGTGTTCCTCTCTCTGTCCGGCTCTGACCGCACGGGAGCTGGGAATTTCTGTACCTGTGTCTGCCTCCCCCACTGAATGGGAGCAACCTCCTTGGAGAAAGCCTGGTCTTCCCACTCAGACTGGGAGCTTCCTGAGCACCGCTCTGTCTTCTCCATCAGACAGTAAACTCACAACGTGCCAGCATATCTCTCCCGCATCATTTGGGGTGCTCTGGGAGGGCAGACATGTGAATCTGCTGTCAGGTCAGCAGCAACCTGGGCAGAACCATATTCCCGTGGGTAGGGAAAGTGCCTTCTCCATTAGGCTGGAAACTCTGTGAGGGCAGAGCTGTGTCTCCTCCTTTTGACGAGGTCCTGGGGCAGGGACTGTCTCCGCCTTCAGCCTGGTTGTTCCCCGGTTGGGCTGTGGCTCCACCCTTAGCTTGGAAGCTCCTGGGGCAAGGATTGTGTCTCCCCAGTCAGCCTGGGCTTCACCAACAGGGCCGTTCCATCAGACTGGGATCCCCTTGAGGAGTGGGCTTTCTCCCTTATCTGCTAGGGAGCTCGCCAGATAGGTCTCTTTCCCATCAGTACTCTTGAGGGTAAGGCCAAGTGTCTCACTCAGACTGGGCTGTAGGACTCAGGGTGCTCTGATCCCCTACTACACAGCTTGTGCCTGCCTGTCCCCTCCTTGAAGTTTTTGGGATGAGGGAGATGGTTAGAAGGTGGCTAGGTTAACTGAGAAGGGGGAATTGGGCAGGAATTGGAAGGTCACTGGTCAGTCCCTCTTCTGCCTCAGTACGTCCCCAGGTGAGGCCAGGGCCCTCTCAAAGGTCCTGAGCACTGTGTGTGTAGGCTAATGGGTTAGGGACTGGTGAGTTCAGTTGGTCAAGCCTCCTTAGTGGCCAAGGACACCTACAGCTCAGTGCACCATGAAGCAGCCTTCAGGAAGGCAGCCAGTGGCCCACTGTGGCCAGGGGTGAATGGGGAACCTTCCTGGGGGTGGGGGGTGATGACAGTGCTGGTCCTTAGAACCTGGGTGCTGGGGCAAGAGGGGCTCTGAAGTTGAAGAGATGTGGGACTAGGAAGGTGGCACGGGTCCCTAGGGTAAGGGGACGCTCAAGTGAGGCCCAGGGCATGGGTCCCTGGTGGAAGGGGAGGCTCAAGTGAGGCCCAGTTGATCCATCTTCCCCAGCTATTCCCACCTTCCAGAGCTTGGACTGCTCTTGACCATCATGGTTGTTGGGAAGTGGGCCTGTGTGTCTGGGCCAGACCCTGGGGGTGCTACTCTGCTTTAGGTGAGGGGACTGGGGCGTGATGGTGCCTCAAGAGCCAGGGCCACCCCTTCCCCAGATCAGTGGGCAGCTCTCCCCTCGCCTCTTCCGGAAGCTGCCGCCCAGGGTCTGCGTCTCCCTCAAGAACATTGTGGACGAGGACTTTCTCTACGCAGGGTGAGGCTGCGTGAGGCTGGGATGGGGCGGGGGTTGGTGGGGGGTGGCTGGGCGGGGCGGTAGGTCAGTCCTGACCTGGCTGTTTTGCCTGCCCCCACAGACACATCTTCCTGGGCTTTTCCAAGTGCGGCCGTTATGTTCTTTCATATACCAGCAGCAGTGGGGACGATGACTTCTCCTTCTACATCTATCATCTGTACTGGTGGGAGTTCAACGTCCACAGCAAGCTCAAGCTGGTAGGGCCGGGCCCAGGGCTGGGCTATCCCTTCCAGCAACGTGACCAGCAGGTCACAGCATCCCCCGAGCCTCACAGTTCTTGTCCGTAAAGTGGAGAAATTCTACTCCAAGGGTCATTGTCAGTATTCCGTGCCTTAGGTCAAACCAGGTGCAGCTGCCGTTTTTATAGTTGAAAGTGGGTAGGTGGTGGCACTTGCCTTTGGTTCGACTCAGCATACATAGCCTAAGAAGCACACAGCATGCTCAGGCCAGGTGGGACCTGGTAACTTTGCTAGCCTGTTCACTTAACCCTGACTTTGACTCCTTGAACCGCCCCCCCCAGGAGGTGAGTGCTGTTACCCCAGTTTACACATGAGCTCGGAAAGGTGAACAGGTTTCGGGGTGGATGGGGCGTGGATCTGATGTGTCTGGCAGAGTCCCCTTTCTTGGGGCTGGGCTCTCTCCTCAACTCCTCCTGTGCCAGACCGGCTTCCCTGTTTCCCCTCCTCATAAGGGGAGCCTCCCCAGCCTGTCGTCAGGAAGGCAGAGGGGTGTGGTGTTGGAGCTGCTTGGGACTCCCTGGGTCGAGCCACCCCCCCCACCCAAAAGGTTGCTCCTGCCAGCTCAGCCCCAGCTCCAATTCCCGCCCAGCATTGTGCAGCCTCGGTCCCCTATGCACCCCCACCCTACTTGCTCTCACCCTATACCGACCCTGAACGTGCTGCTCAGGTCCGGCAGGTGCGGCTCTTCCAGGATGAGGAGATCTATAGTGACCTGTACCTTACCGTGTGCGAGTGGCCCAGCGATGCCTCCAAGGTCATCGTCTTTGGGTTCAAGTAAGACTTGGGGATGTGGAAGGCCTGGGGACCCGGGGAGGGCGGTGCGTGGGCCAGGTTGCTGAAGGCATGCTGGCCCCCAGCACCCGCTCAGCCAACGGGATGCTCATGAACATGATGATGATGAGTGACGAGAACCACAGAGACATCTACATCAGCACCGTGGCGGTACCACCGCCAGGCCGCTGCGCCGCCTGCCGGGAAGCCAGCCGGGCCCATCCAGGTGAGCGGCTGGGGGCCTCGGGGTGCGGGCTGCCTCCTTGCCCCGAGGCCATGCGTGAGCCCGCAGCACGTGTATTGCTGCAGGCGACCCGAGTGCACAGTGCCTGCGGCATGGCTTCATACTGCACACGAAGTACCAGGTGGTCTACCCCTTCCCCACCTTCCAGCCCGCCTTCCAGCTCAAGAAGGACCAGGTGGTACTGCTCAACACCAGCTACTCCCTGGTGGCCTGTGCCGTCTCCGTCCACTCAGCAGGTAGGCCCCCGGGTCTGAGGACGGACCCGGTGCCCTCTGGAATCCTCCAAGCCCCCAGTCCCCTGATCCCAAACGAGATCTTCAGAAGTAAAGTCCCTTGTCCAAGGTCACTCAGCTGGAAAGCAGGGATCCGGACTCCCAAGCTAGCTATGCTCCACCCCAGCGCTGTCCTCTAGAACTTTCCACAGGGCTGGGATGGTCTGTATCTGCCAGGTCTATATCTGCTACAGCTGCCACTGGTAGCCACTTAAAGTGGCTTGTGTGACCAAGGAACTGAGTTTTTAATTTCAGTTAATTTTAGTTGAGTTCAAAAAGCCACATGTGGTCACGGCTACCATGCGGGACGGCACAGTGCTCTCTCCAAAAATTTACAATTTCAGGGAGTGGTCAGTGGGCGGATGGCTGTCGTTTGTCTTTGGAATAGGAAAAATGCCAGTGGAGATCACAAGGTGATGTCCCTTGACAGAGTGGCCGAAGTTAAGAAGCTGGACAGTGGTACGGGCTGGTGGGGATGTTCCCCGCCGCCACACTCTCAGGGCCACACGTGTGAGTGGTCCTGCGTCTGACCACGTCCAAGGCTTTGCGGGCTGCCTGCTCTCCATCCCTGGGGCTCAGGGGGGTCAGACAAGGCAGGTGTTCTCTTGGATGAGCAGTTTCAGTGGGTGCTCCTAGCACGCGGGACCGTGGAGCGTGCTTTAAAGACGTGCTCCAGTGCAGACGGAACGAAGGGAGACCTATAACCGGATAATGATACCACTTACATATAAATTAAAAATATGTTCTGATTTTGCAAGAACGCAATCAAATGAGAAGACACCCACTAACTACATGAAAATGGTTGCCCCTGGGAGGGGGAGGGGAGTGGATATGAAAAGAGAATTAAATGTATAAAACTGAGTGCACACATCAGTAAGAGCCAGGGTGCCTTGTTTCCGGGCCCATCCAGGGGCCTCCTGGCCCTGGCCGCCTGTGCCACTGTGGGCAAGGCCCTGCCCCTCATCAGGCTGTGAGCCCCCAACAAGCCGGGGCTGGCTGAGACCCACACCCCTGGACTTGTGGCTATGGCTCCCTGTAGGAAGAGTCATGTGGGAAAGGACTCAGCTGTGCGCATTCGAGGGTGAGGAGGCCACTGTCACTCGTGTCTAACACCTTACGCAGAGGGAGAGTGAGTTTTGACTTGGCCATTTTCCGTGCTGGCGGACAGGAGTGCATTGGTTCACGCTGTCCTGCAGTGTGACCTTGGACAAGTTTCTCCTTGAGCCTCGGTCCCTAGTCTCTGAACTGGGAGGACACAGCCTCCCCGCTCAAGATGGATTGTGAGGGGCCCTAAGGAGGTGGTGCAGGCAGAGGTCCCGGTGCTGCTCATCCTGTGCTTTGGGGTTCTCCATGCGGAGGTCACGTTCCCAGAGGGGAGCCGGTCCCTAGTCAGGCGGACACCAATGGAGGCCTGGGATTTGGCTGCTGAGTGCCCAAGCCAGTGAGCTCCCTTTGGGGACAATGAATGGCTGTGTAGGAAACTCAGACTTCGGTGATCTTTAGCTTTTGTCACTGTCCGCCGCCCAGGGGCAGGGATTTTTGTGTCTTTCCACTCGTGTCCTCAATGTGTGGCACTTGGTAAATGCTTGAAATTAAAGTCTGAATGAAAGTGTTACTTATGTGCACACGTGCGTGTATAAGGCCTTTTTCTCTTCTGAGTGTTTCTGACGGATCTTTCAACATAAGTAAGTCTTCTAGGAGGGTCTCCTCAAGGTGCATTTCTAAGAAGCACCCCTAGGGCGGTTAGGAAGGATGGCAGTGTCCTAAACTTGAACCTGTCTGTTGAGCACCCCTACCTCCCTCTGTTTTTGTTTCAGGCGAGAGCAGCTTCTGCCAAATTCTGTATGACCACACCGCCTCCCCTCCAGCCCCCCCCAGCCCCCCTGGGCCCCAGAGCCCTGAGGTGCCCCCTGCCCTCCCCAGCCCCTGCCCTGAAGCAGCTCCCACCCGGCCCCCTGGGGCCCCCGAGCCCTCACCTGCCATCGCCAAAGCCAAGGAGTTTGTGGCCGACATCTTCCGCAGGGCCAGAGAGGCCAAGGGGGGGACCTTGGAGGAAGCCCGGCCACCCCCTTGCCCAGGGCCCTCGGGCAGCCGCTGCCGTCTGCCCTCAGAGCCCCTGGCCCCAGGCGGGGAGGTGGTACCCCGAGATAGCCCCCCAGCGGCAGAAGCACCAGCCCCAGAGCCGGGCTACGTCAACTACACCAAGCTGTATTATGTGCTGGGGTCCAGCGAAGGGACAGAACCGGAGGATGGTGAGCCAGGAACCCCCCCCAGCAGGCAGGGTGCTAGACGTGGGAGTTCCCCCTCCCACCCCTACCCCCAATTCCTGTGCCCTCAGAGTTCGAGGATGACAAGATCTCCTTGCCCTTTGTGGTGACTGATCTCCGTGGCCGCAACCTGCGGCCCATGCGGGAGCGGGCTGCCGTCCAGGTTGGTGCCTGTGGGAGGCAGGCCTAGGGGCAGCCCCTAGGGAGCCTGCTGGGGTCGCAGTTAAAGCAGCCCTCCCCTCCCCACCTCCCACAGGGGCAGTACCTGACGGTGGAGCAGCTCACACTGGACTTTGAATACGTCATCAATGAGGTCATCCGCCATGACGCCACCTGGGCCCACCAGTTTTGTTCCTTCAGTGACTATGACATTGTCATCCTGGAGGTGGGCCTGGGGAGGGGACAGGGTGGGCCCAGGGCCTCTGTATTCTGGGCATCACCTCAATAGCTGTCACTGTTGTCCCTGCCCCATCCCCCACCAAGGTCTGCCCGGAAACCAATCAAGTCCTTATCAACATTGGCCTGCTGCTCCTGGCATTCCCGTCCCCAACTGAGGAGGGCCAGCTCCGGTGAGCCGGTGGGAGTAGAGATGGCCCTCGTCTCTGCACAGCAGGAAGCCACACTCAGATTCTTCTGTGGGGGTGGGCAAGTGGGGATGGGAGACGACTTCCCCTGCCCCCAAAACCTGGACCAGGCACACCATAACTGCCCCAGAGAGAGCAGACCCTCAGGGTTGCCGGGGTCCCAGCCCTTTCTCCTTTGCCTCCCACCCCACTGCAGACCAAAGACCTATCACACCAGCCTCAAGGTGGCATGGGACCTCAACACAGGCATCTTCGTGACAGTCAGTGTAGGCGACCTCACTGAGGTCAAGGGGCAGACCAGGTGAGGTGGGGCTGGGGCCAGGGCCGGGGGCTGGGGACTGGGGTGGGCGACCGGGGTGATGAGAGCCCTCACCCCCTTGCCCTCAGCGGCAGTGTCTGGAGCTCATACCGCAAGAGCTGCGTGGACATGGTCATGAAGTGGCTGGTGCCTGAGAGCAGCGGCCGCTATGTCAACAGGATGACCAACGAGGCACTGCACAAAGGTGGGCCCTGGGACCTGATGACGGTCAGAACTGAGGTCCTCTGGCACCATGCCAGGCCTAGAGCAGGTGTAGATTCCTCGGTGTTCCTGAATGGAGTCCACTGGCCATGAATGGAGTGAGGGGAGGGGAGGGCAGGCTTGGAGAGGATCTGGCAGGTGTGGCACCTGGGGACCCCCAGCCAGTCCATTCATTCAGCAGGCCTCTACTGGGTGGCTGCCGGTGGGAGGCCTGCGGGAGAACTCAGCAGGGTCACTGCCTTTTGGAACTTTGTGGCCCAAATCCCATCAGGGCAAGAGGCAGGCCCCTCCCCTCAGCCTGGGCCTGTAGACTTCATGGCTCCCTTCTGCCCCTTCCTTGCAGGGTGCTCGCTGAAGGTTCTGGCAGACAGTGAGCGATACACGTGGATTGTGCTGTGAGGGCCCGGCCGCTCTGGACACTGACTCCAACTACCTCCGCGGCCTGGGAGCCGGTTGCCTTCCTGGCAGCCTCTCCCCGGCTGGCTGGCCAACCGACCGATGACCGACCGACTGACGGACCAGCGCTCGTGTTAGGCTGCGGGGAAGGGGGCTGGGCGGGGCAGCCCCTGGTGGCCTGAGAGTCTGGACGCTTCTTATTTATGCCTATTTAAGTTGGGAAGGGGCAGAGGGAGGGAGCCCCCTGACCCACCAGCCTCAAGCGCCCACCTTCACCCCGCACTGGGCACAGGCCCTTGCTCTCTGCGCATCTGCCCCTTTCCTTGGCTACAGGTGTGGACGTTGCCCCCCAGGGAGGCCGAATGGACCCCCCTTCTCCTGCCCCAGCCTCCCCCCTACTTGAGGCGGCAGACCTCGTGGCCATCCCCTCCCTCTGCCCATCGTTCCTCTTCATGTAATAAATGTTTTATTTCTGAACCTCCCTGAATTCCCTTTACTGCCGCTTGGGGCCCAGTTGGAGTCCCCAGCCCCAAGGCCCCGTGAGTCAGCAGCAGCCACATACCACAGCGGAATTTATTGTGTTTTAAGAAAGACTACAAAAAGGTAGAAAACAGCTCGGCACACTAGACTACCACACGCGTGGACACTTTCACGGCCAGGAGAGGGGGGCCCCGAGGGAGTGGGGCGGGGAAGTCGGGGGGCCACCCCAAAAGCTGTAGCACGCGGAGCACACAAAATAGTGATTTTTATACAATAGGTCAGATCTTTTTTTGTCTTTTTTTTTGTTTTTTTGCTTTTTGCCATAAACATCTATCTCACAGGTTGAAGACACTGAGAAAACCGGAACAGATAAGGCCATGATGGTTGGAAAAAAAACCAACAAGTTACCAACTCCGCTCAGGCGGCTCACAAATCGCACAATAGTCATGTGGGGGGCGGGTCGCACTGCACGGAGGAGAAGCACAGTCTCCCGGGAGAGAAGGAGCACAGAGGTTCCATTACAAACCAGAGGCGGGTGGCCTGGGATGCTGGGGTCTTGGATCCGAGGGAGCCGAGCCCCTAGCTGGGGCTGGGCCAGGCGTGGGCATTTCTGGGCCCCACTGCTGGCAGCAGGCCCCTCTGGGCTCCCACCCCCAGCCCAGCCTGCTGCTCTTTGGAAGCTGGAGGCGGTGCCCCCGGCTGCCCTCCCCCCAACCAGGCCAGACAGTGCCCTCCTGAGGGCTGCGGGGCAAGGGAGGGCCCAGCTCTGGAGAAGATGCGACACCCACGGCTTTAATTGCACTTATACCAAGGAGTGGGGAGCGGTGGGGTTGCTGGGGGGAGGGGTCCCGGGGCTGCCGCTGACAGTGGGGGTCCCCAGGTGATACCCACCTGTGCCCACCTGGGGCTCAGGGTTGGGCCCGGGACAGACTGTGCAAAGCCAGCGAGCTGAATAAGTTAACAGTTCCACAGGGGAGGGGGCCTGCCTGCCTGCCCCCTGGGACACAGGAGGGTGGGGCTGGGGGAGGGAGATGCTGAGGCCTTCGGGCCGAGGAGCCTAGCTGGCTGTCCCACGGGGCACCTGGGCACGGCGGCGGGTTCCTTAAGGCACGTCTTGTGTGTCAGTTTGCAGCTGCGGCTCCGCCTGGCCCTGTGATTGTGCCGCCCCCACTGGGGGCAGGGACCCCCCAGCCTTCCCTGTCTTGGAGGCCCCCTCCCCGCCCGAGGCTGGAACGGTGACAGCGAAGCCACAGAAGCTGTGAGGGACCCTGGCGTGGATGGGCGGCGGGGGCGGGCGGGCGGGGCAGGGGAGGCCGCGGGCTTAGCTGGAGGGCAGCGCCTGCACGAAGAGTCCACGCGCGTCTGTCCGTGCCAACTTGGCAGGCGGCTCCAGGGCGTCAGGGCCCAGCGCGGGCGACTCGCCGCCGGCCGCCAGCGAGATGTCTTGTGGCAGCTCATCCTCGCTCTCCTCCTCTTCCTCCTCCTCTTCGTCTGGGGCACACAGAGGAGGCCCGACTCAGCGCGGGGCGGCGGCGCCCCCAGAGCACCGCCGGCGCCTCCTCCATCCCCACCGCCCTGTCTGCAGCTCCTGGGATTCGGCCCCACGACAGAGACACGCCCCGCCCCGCCTACCTTTGTCCGGATCTAGGGGGTTCAGCGAGGTGGTCAGGTTGGCGAACTGCAAGGAGGCAAGACAAGGGGTGAGGGTCCCGCCGAGGGGTCCCCCGCCCGCGCCCTCTGCGCCCCGCCGCGCGCACCTCGCCCATGACCGCGATTGGGGTCTCGCCCTTGGCCTGGGCCACTCGATGCTCGATCAGGTAGTACATGTACTCGTCGTAGAGCAGCCGGATGAGGTGGAAAGAACCAAAGCTGGCAGCGCTTCGCAGGGTCAGGTCCCGGATCACCATGGAGCTGCGGGCGGCGGAGAGGAAGCCATCAGGCCCGGTGCCACCCCGCGCGCCAGCAAGCCCAGCTACCCGGGTCAGGCCCCGCCCTGGCTTCCCAAGTGCGTCCATCAGTGAGAGCACAGGGTCCTCACTCCGCCCACCACCAACAGACCTCCGCCCTGGTGAAAAGGGACCCGAGCTCCAAGGAAGCGGGATCTTCCCTGGTCCCAAACTCCGCGAGGAGGAATGGCTTCCCCCCATCCCATTTTGGCTAGTCCCCGGAGAGGAGGAGCCGCCTCGAGACCCCGCCCCCAGGAAGAGGGGCTTCCCACCCCGCCCTTCCCCGCCCTTCCCCGCGGGGCTCTCGCCGAGCGGGAGCGCACCTGTAGAAGGACCACTTGAGGAGGAAGAGCTTGGCGGCCTTGGGGAAGCCGGCGCTGCCCTGGTAGGGCTTAAGCACCTGGCTCACGACGCCGTCCAGCCAGGCCGCCCACTGCTCCAGTGAGTTCTGCTGCTGCAGGGTCACCTTGAAGTCCTGCTCCAGCCGCTGCACCACGCGGTCCTCGCAGCGGCACACCCACGAGGCCTGCTCCTGGAGTACAGCGGCAAGTGCCCGCGGCTCAGCGGCCGCCCCCCCCCCCGCCCCCGCCGCGCCGCGCCGCCCCGCGCTCCCCGGCCCTGTCCCGCGCTCACTTGCACGTTGGCGAAGTCCACGCGGTTGAGGTCGCTCAGCATCTGGTTGATCTGCGCGGTGTTCTGCAGCACCGCGCGGGCTGCCTGCGCCAAGTGATTGAGCGACGTGTAGCGTCGCAGCGTCTGCGCAAAGGCGCCGGCTGCTGCCACCTGCGGGGCGGGGGCGGGGGGCGCGGATGTGCTTGGGGCTGGTGAGAACCCCCCATCCCCTGCCCCAGCCGCTGCAACTTCTCTGAGCCTTTCTTTCTCCCCAAAGGGAGGATGTACGTCGTTGCTTTTGTCGGATCAAGGGGTCGGGATTTTCAAATTTAGGGTGGACACCCGAAGTAAGGAAAAAAAAAAAAAAAAAAAATCAATATAATGTGTCTGACCAGCATCATTATTTTTAATGAAAGGACACGGGAAATTCACGGAAGACACTGCCTAGAAAGGGCTCGAACTGTTATTCCCTTGAATGTCAGGTTAGGGAGGGTGGGGCGTTGTCCATCTTGGTCACTGCTGTGCTCCCAGCATTAAGAACTATGCTGGCACACAGCAGATGCTCAATAAATGCATGCTGAATAAATGAATGAATACATTTGCTCATTTTTTCATTGGCTCCAGCTTCTACTCTTCCCACCTCCCCACTCCTCACCCCTGTCCAGTGCGCCCAGGGCCAATGCTTCAAGGCCCAGTTCCGTATAACCGTCTCATTAACATTTTAAGGACAATGAAAACCCCCTTCTCTTCCTTTTATTGTTTTGCTCAAGAGCAGACACAGCCCATCTAATTCCTCACGTCAGAGTACTTCTGACTATGCAGCACTGATGAAGAGGGCTACTACTCTGTTCCCTTATGTTTCCCGCCCCCCTATTGAAACTGCCTGAAGAGAATTACTTCAAGTTGCATTTGGTTTTTATTTTTTTAAGATACTGTTTTGTGTACAAAAACACCACAAAGGGATTGTGTTTCAGAAGTGGGTAAAGACAATAACCCGAAGATCACTCTGAGGGAAGAGGCATGGGGACAAATCCTAGGGCCTCTATGAGGGAGAGGAGAGGGAGGCCCCCAGCCCACAGTTCCACAGCCAGGTGGCAGGAGCTGGGCCCAGCACCCAGGCTGGCCGCTCAGCCCCCCGCCTGCGAGGCTGTGCCCAGACCCCTCCTCACACCCTCACCTTCACACGCAGCATCTCCTCAGGGATGTTCACCATGGCATGGGTGAGCCAGCTCTCCAGGCTCTTGGCAAAGTTCCGGATCGCTTGGGTCAAGGCACCTGTGGGTGGCAGCAGGAGCTCATCAGGACTGCGGAGCGTGGGGATGGGGGCCGGTGGTGGGGCAGCCGTCCTGCACTCACTGGGGATGGGCCGCAGCACATCAGGGATGAGGATCTCCACCAGGCCCTGGTACAGCACGTTGTCACAGTGCTTGGTCCACTGTAGCACTGGTTCAAACTTGGAGAGGAGCACCAGGCTGGCCTTGGGCAGCCGCTTCTCAGCCTCGTCATGCCTGTAGACACCCACCCCAGCCCTGAGGTCAGGCTGACACGGGCCCCAATTCCCCCGGGGTCAGTTGGGGATCTTGTACCCTGCACATGAGGCATGGGCGCCCACCCACTGCAGGGAGGAAACAGCTTAGCGGGGGACACTACCCCACATGCTGACTGTCAGACTGAAACACAAGCCCTGGAGTGGGGCTCGGAAGGTTGTGTGCACCCCGCAAAACCCCGGGGATCAAGCAGATGCCCCCCTCCCCCTGATGTCTGAGCTCTGGCCACCCCTGGGTGCTGACTTTCACCAGGCCCCCCCTTCTCTCCCTCCTCCCCGCTCCCACCAAGGGACTCACACAGCCAGTGGAGGCGCCTCGTTGGGCTGACTGAGGTTGTACCTCCAGAAGGTTTTCCACAGCGTCTCCACCAGGGTGAACTGCAGGTTCACCATAACGTCGACAATGGCCTGTTGGGGAGGCTGGATGCTCAGGGACATGGGGGTGGGGGGCAGCATGGCTTTCCCTCGCCCATGCCCACTCACCCAGCTGCCCTACCTCACAGTGTTCCCGGTACAGGACCTGGAAGGCCTTGATGTCCCCAGGCCCAACGCCCTCGGGGAGCACTTTGCCCTGGAAGTCAAGCTCTGAGAAATCAGGGAGACTCCTCGAGGCATCTGGAGGCAGGAGGGGACACCATGAGGCCCTTTATCCTCCCACCTGCCTGCCCCCCTCATGCCTCTCCCTGGGATCTTATCAAGTTATCATAGCTTTCCTCCCAAGTGGGGTTCCCCCACGGGCAGTGGGGAATGAGGCAGCCCCGGGAAGGCAGACGAGCCACCTCCACACTCTCCAGAGGCCCCAGACCCTGGCCCAGACCCCGCCCCGTGGGCCAGAGAGCTCTCACCCAGGAACTGCTGGTACTGCTGGACCTGGGCGCTGATGTCAGACAGCCCAGTTGCCTGCTGTGGCCCCACGGCCACACCGTTGGTCATGCCCTCCATCTTCTGGATGGGCTTGAGCCTGGAGAAGGGGCAGTTGGAGCACTGAGACAGGCCAGCACGCCCTTCCCCACCCGCCAGCCCAGGGGCCGGCCCCGTCCTCCTACCTTTGCTTCTGTGAGAAGGGCTGGCCCCGCATGGCCATGTGCTGCTGGTCCTCCATGAGCCGCAACAGGGGTGAGCTGGCCTTGATGCGCAGGCCGTAGTAGTGGTATTTAGAGTTGCCCCTGAGAGGGAGGCAGAGGCTGAGAGCTGGGTGGGGGGGTCCTCCAGCTGTCCACCGGGGACCTTCGCATCACACCTGCCTCCCCCTGGCCAAACGGCCTGGGGGAAAGACCCATGTTCCACGGAGCCAGGGGTGCCGTGCTGGGGAAGTACAGGGACTATGGGTGCCAAGAGAGGTCCCCGTGTACCAACTGAGTTCTGAGAAGACAGGGCCAGTGTCTGGAGAACTCCTCGACCTCCGATCCTGGCACGGGGCAGGAGTCAGCACGTACTTGTTGACGACTAGTTACAACAAATTGCCAGGCACTGCTCTGAGCCCTTAGCATATACAAATCCCCGCGTTCCTTAACCCTGTCCTACGAAGGGTGCTCCTGGCACCCTCTGGGGACAGAGGAAGAAACTGTGGCACAGAGAGACACAGTTATGCAGGTGTTATGCAGGTGTAAGTGAATGAAGTGACAGGTAAGCCGGGAAGGGAAGTGGACCCAAGAGATGGGCAGGAGTCACCCCAGGGAGGTGTAAGGGTTGCGAAGGAGAAGAAGGGAAGTGTGGGGTCAGGGTAGGGCCCCTTGTTCCCTCTTATGTGAATCCAGACTTGAAGGCCCTAATTAAAGCACCAATCATGTACGGTGCCCGCACCCTCAAGTTATGTGCATTTTAGCACTGGAAGCCAGATCAGCCACAAGAGAAGCAACACAAAAGGCATGTGGGATGGTGCTCCGTAGTAAGGACGGAAAGCAAGCAGGGAAGGGGATGGTGGGGAGTGTCAGGGAGGTGGGAGGTGGGGAGTGGGAAGGCTTTTGTTTCAGTTAGGCCAGGGGGCATCTGAGTAAGGAGATGGGGAAAAGCGCATGAAGGAGAAGGTACAGCAGGTGCAAAGGCCCTGGGGTGGGAGTGTGTGGGTATCAGAGGAAGGGGCCAGTGGGGCTAGAGCAGAGTGAGGGAGGGCATGAGAGGGGTAAACGTGGCCCTGGAGAACTTCAGGTAGGGGTGGGTGGCCCACCTGGTGCCAAGCCGTCGGGTGCGCAGACCCATGAAGACAGAGCGGATGAGCTTGCCGAAGGAAGCGGCATTGACGGGCTCCAGCTTCTGCTCCTGGCAGTGCAGCAGGTAGTGGCAGTAGAGGGTGCTCCGCGGCAGGCTCACCCCCTCTGCCGTCTCATAGTTGTCTAGGAGCCACTGAACCTGGGGCCGGACCAGGGACAGAAGAGCACTAAGAATCACTTCAGTTTCTCGAGTACTCATTGCGAAGTGCTCTCTGTACCTATTTCTAATTGTGATCCTGACAGCCACACTGCAGGGGACATCATATCATAATCATGGTGGGGGGTGGGGTGGGGGGAGGGAACTAAATCCCATGGAATTTTCTAGAGCTGCACTGTCCAATGTAGTCACCACCAACCATATGTGGCTATTTAAATTTACTTATACTGAGTGGAAAAAGCCAATGTCAAAAGGTCACATGGAGGATGATTCACTGAATGTTCTCAGAATGACAGCATTATAGAAATGGGGAACAGATTCATGGTTGCTGGGGGTTAGGGATGCTGGGAGGGAGGAGGGCGGGGGTTACTATCGAAGGGGGAGCAGGAGGGCGATCTTTGTGGCAATGGAACAGTTCTGCATATTGACCGTAGTGGTGGTTTCCCAAACGTACACCCGTGATAACAAGATAAAAGTAGACACCCACACGGTACCAAGCCCAGTTTCCTGGTTGGATACTGTACTGCAATTACAAAAAACATAACTAGATGGGTAACAGGGCTGGGGGGGGGGCGGGGACCAGAGGGATCTCCCTGTACTATTTTTGCAACTTCCTATGAATCTACAATTATATCAAAATAGTTTAAAGAAAAACAAACTCCAGAGGTCTCTGTACTGAACAGCACAGAGGGGATAGTTCCATCAACGGAGAACGTGCTCTAGGACAGCACTGTTCTGTGAAGCATGTCTGCAAGCTTTGGGAAAGGACCCAGAAGGGATCCCATTACGGGGTCATGAAATCAGTTAGGTGGGTCACAGCCAGCACTTAAAACGAGAGACTAGAAGCCAGGCTGCATGGATGTATAAGGGAGAGTCTGCCCACTTTCTGAGAAAGCTTCTGTCTTAAATATGTGGTCCAGGATGCATTGCTATGTCAAAGGGCAGTAGTTAAAATCACTCCAGACCCCAAGGTCCCAGAGGACAAGGACGGCCATGGGACCACCAGCCTCTGACCCATCTACAGTCACAGAGCTAGTGAGGGGCCCTCCCCCAAGAGACTCCAGATAAGCCCATGTCTGGGCGGAGAGAGGTTATCTCACTGCCTTCCAGATGGACAAAGAACCTTGCTCAGGGCAGCTCCCCCCATGCTGGGGCCTGCCTCTCCCTCCCCTTACTCTATACCTGTCGTCATCAGCTATAATCCCAGGAAACAACGCTTCTTGGGGCACTGCTCTAACAGCTTCATGCATATTAGCTGAGGCCCAGAGAGGCTGAGTAACTTGTCTGAGGCTACCCAGCAAGGACCTGATCCCAGAATACCTGCATCTGAGAACTCTGGTGCAACGCTTACGGTGGCTGATGGTGGCGACTGACCACCCACCCACCCCTACCACCCTCTCCCCCCAGCCCCCCACACCCCGCAGCCCCCCTCCTCCCACTGCCAGACTCTGCTGGGCCCCAAGTTGGCACTTACAGTGGCTGGCGAGGCACGGGTGGTGTGGGAGTAGGACTGGCTGGCACTGCCCAGCATGTAGCCGCCCTGGATCACATAGGTTCCTGCTCCGCTGCTGCCGCCGCTGCCGCCGCCGCCGCCGCCGCCGCCGCCGCCACCGCCCCCGCCACCGCCACCGCCTCCCCCGCCGCCGCTGCCGCCGCTGCCACCACTGTTGGCCCCACCCCCACTGCTGGTGGAGCTGGTGACCACCTGGGTGCCGGACACGTACATGGGCACGGAACCGGTGCTGGCCACTGCCTGGGAGGTGGCAGGTGTGCTGACCTGGGCGGCAGTGCCCGCAGCTTCGTAGTAGCTGGTGCCCGCTGTCTGGGTGTACAGCGGCGTCTCTGGGTAGGGGTAGGTACTGGAGCGGCTGAGAGAGAAGCAGAGGGAGGAGTCAGAGGGCCAGAGCTGGGTGGTGATGTTGGGGGGCTCCTGTGGGGCAGACCCCTCCCAGGAAGGTAGCGAGGAGCAGTAGCGCAGTGCAGCCAGCAGTCAATCATCTGTGCCGGACCAGGCACCCCCGAGGGCTTGACGGGGCACAATTTCTCATTTAATCATCAAAGCGGCCCCTGGCATGGGAGTCCACGTCTCAGATGTGAAGAAGCCAAGACAGAATGGCTAGGTAACTTGGAACAGGCCACACGCTTCAGTCAATCCACAAAAAAAAAAGGTCACATACCTACTGTATGCTGAAAACTGTTCTAGGCACTGCAGACCCAACAGAGGAAGACAGAGGAGGCCCTGCCTGGGGTGTGGAAGCCAGAGAAGCAAGCACGAAGGTAAATCGAGGACACAGCAGAAGGTGGGCCATGCCCAGGTGGTAAAACAAGGCAGGAGGGGGGTGCTGGGGAAGGGGGGGTGGTTTCTATGTCTGCATCCAGTGGCCACCCTGGGGAGCCACTCAGTGATGACTTTGGTTTGCAGAGGCATGTCCCTTTGAGGCAGCGACATCGTGACCTGGAGCCTTGTCCTCAAGTCGTCCCAGGACCTGGGTCAGAGAATGCAGGCACAAGGCTGAGGTCGTCGCAAGAGTGGGAAAACTGGGTCCATCTTTGGAGGAATGTTAAAAGAAAGGTGACGAGATCCTATGGACGGGTGAGAGAGAAAGAGGAAGGTCCTGCCGAAGAAGCAGCTCCAGAACATTCTGTCAGGTGAACAGAAGAGGTGGGGAAAGGTAAAGATGAGGTTTCTGGAAGAGGGGGGAGACGAGGGCCATTTCATATCTCTGTCTACATCCATGGTGGTGGAGGCCCCATGGAGGGTGGCAGGTGTCTCACAAGACACTGTGGGGCACAGTTTTGATTTTGAGCCCTCTTAACATATTAGTGACTAAAAATAACATTAAATGTTAAAAATCCAAAAAGGAAGCAAGGCTGGCCAGGTGGGGCCTGCCTCAGAAGGCACTGTTGGAGTCTCCCTAAGGAAGCAGGGGGAGGAGACTTATAGGCCTCTAGGGGCAGTGAGGGGGGGGTTGGGATTAGTGGGGAATGACAGAAGGCTTGGTCGCCGAGGTGAGCCTCCAGCCTGATGGACACCAAGATAAAAGCACTCTGGTCCAACAGTACCGAAATGGCACTGAGCGGCACCAACAGCACGTGGTCTGAAGCGGCACCAGCAAGTGCCCTCTCCACCCCACCCCTGGCCCAGCCCGGCCCAGCCCACCCCTCCCACACGCAACACATGCTCCAAAAATACGGCTTTGGTAGCTATCTGCTGAACGACAGACTGAATGTGTGCGTCTCTGGATGTGGCCTGGACAGAGCCAGGGACAGAGATGCAGGGACTGTGGCTTTGGCCGGGGGTGGGGGGGGAACCTGCTGCCGGAGGGCTGGGCACCCAGTAAAAATCCACTGCGAGAGAGAGACAGAGACACACTGCTGCTAACAACTTCGCGCAGCAGAAGAATCTGATGGCAATGCGGGGCTACGTGTGATCGCACGTACCAATCACGGGGTGAAGAACTTGAACAGAAGCAAACCACAGATGCTACCAGGGGAGGCAGAAGGAGCAAGCGTGGCACTGCAGGGCCAGGGTTTGTGCCTCAGCTCTGCTTCTAACACCCCTGGAGGCCCTAGGGTGCAACTGCAAGGCTAAGAGACTGGCAGCACCAGAAATAATAGAGCTATGAGGTAGGTGGATGCCATGGACCATGATCATGACTCAGGTGCCAGGGTCATGACCCCTGGGATCTGCCACAGCATCATGACCCCGGGACCAAGTTGCTCTATGAGCAAATCCCTAGCATCAGCCCCACTTAGGACAAGGTGGGGATGTAAGAAAACAACGACAAATGTAAAGAAAACCAATGGAAACTTCCAAAAATTAAAACAACAATCACTATAATTCTAGAATTATTACTACAGATGATAGGAGAGGGAAGGTGGTGTGCGGAGGATCCTGGGCAAGAGGGAGCCAGAGCTGGTGTGAGGGCAGGCCTGGGGCGTGGCATCTGCCCGCTGGGGCACCTGGTCATGCTACAATGTGTGTGTGCAGCAGCGGGGGTCGGGGTCACTGAGGGTCGGCCGGGTGGGCACTGGCCACGTCATTCACGTTCCATCTGCACAGTGGAGCACCACGCAGCCATTTAGGCAGGGGGACTGGGGGCCACTCAGAGAAAACATGGAAGAGCGTCAAGATACACCGCTGGTAGAAGAAAGAAGAGATAGAACGCTGTGCCTGTTTCTGCACAAAAAAGGGGGTAGTTGCTATTCTCAGAGTATCTCTGGGAGGAAATAAACAGGTCACAGCACCCCCTTTGGAGCAGGGTTGGGGTCAGCCGTGAAGAGTTCTTTACTGTTTCCCACTCCCTCTTAAGAAATTCTGTCCTGTAAAAATTGAATTTTCTTTTTCCTTTTCTAAAAACCAGGCCCATCTGACTCCAAAGCCCTAAATGATACCAGGTATCATTAGATCAGTGACAGCCTTTCCCAAGCTGTGCGGGTCCCCTCCGCTTTCCCCCTGCCTGGTAGCTGTAGGTTATCCTAGGGAAGCATCAGCCCCTATCACGCTTGGCGCTGGGACTCAGGTGCGTGCGCACACAACACACACACACACACACAAGTCCTAGCAGGGCCCTGGGCAGACCAAGGTCCCACCTCCCGTCCCCTCCCCCAGCCCTCTGCCCACTCACATGGCACTGGCCGTGTAGCTGGCGTCACCACCCTCCACATACTGCACTTGGCTGGAGTACACGTGTGGGACAGGCACCTGCTGGAGCTGCTGCACCTGGTATGGGAGGAAGGGCACACAGAAGGTCAGGGGTGGGCCAGCTCCTCTGCCTCTGTCCCTAAAGGGCTGGTGGCTGTCCAAACTCGCAAGGACACCTGGCTCCCCGGCTGGAAGGCTGCATTTTTGGGCTTTCTGAACACATCCTGGACAGGACCAGGTGTCAGAGGTGCAGGGACTGCACCCTCCGCCGGGGCTGGGAATCGGGCGAGGGTCTGTCAGGAGATGCCAGGACTCTGTGCTTAGGCTGGGGACAGCAAGAGTGGGGCCTGAGGGGACCCCAGGGTCCTACTGTGGGCATGAAAGTTGGACCCCAGGAGGACAGCCAAGCACTGGGATATGGCTGTCACTGAAGCTAAAGTCAAAGCCAAAGCTTGAAAACTACATACAAACAGGGCCTCAGGGGTGGAGCCTGGAAATTAAGTACAGGATGTTGGGGGCGGAGTCAGATCAGGGGTGGGGCCCCGGTTTGTGGGACTGAGCCTGGAATTACTGACAGGGCCTCAGGGGCGGGGCCTGAGTTTCCCACCCCATCCCCCACCCTCTATGGTAGCGAAGCCTGGGACCAGGAACCTGCCTCGGGGGAGAGGGGGTGGGGTCAGAGGCGGGTCCCCAGACTGGCCCCGCCGAGGTTGGGGGGGGCCTGACGGGCAGCCCGGGGCCGGGTGCTGGCCGGGGCCGGCGGATCCCGCCCCCGCCCGCCCGATGCCCCCCCGCCCAGACGTCCGCCACCTACTTTGAGGGCCGTGGCGGCCGTGCCGAACACTAGCACCTGGGGGACTCTCTGGATCCTGACCCTCTGGTCGGGGCTGGCTCGGGCCCGGAGCCCGGGCAGTGGCTCGAAGACCACTTTCTGCTGCGGCAGGAGCAGGTGCGGGGGCAGCACGCCCACCAGCTCCACCCACTGCTCGGCGCCCGGCTCGTAATGGGGCGGCGGCGGCTCGGGGCTGCCTAGCTGCGGGACCTCGCCGCTGCGCGCGGACGGGAGCGGCGGCGGCTCCGGGGCCAGCGCGCTCTGCCGGGGCCCGGGCGTGGGTGGCCGGGGCGGCGGCTCCGGCGGCGGCGTGGGCCGGGGCTCCTGCTGCTCTGCCTTCCTAGCGGGAAACTGACTGCCTGAGCTCTGGAGGACAAACAGAGACACTGCGGGGTCACCGGGGGCGGCCGCGGGCGGGGTTCCAGGCCTCTGCCGCCCACCGGGTAGCTGAGCTCACGCAGCAACCCGACAGATCTCCCACCCGGTGTCTGTGGGAGGGGAGAAGCCAGATCTTTCTTAGCAAAACCTGGGCCCTTGAACTGCCAGGTGTGTGGGGGGGCGGTGGGGGGAGGAGAGAGAAGGCTCTGAGACCGAGACCGAGTCTGCAGCCCACAGCCCCAGGTGGAGCCTGGGGCCGGGCTGGGGCTCTGGAGGACCCCCAGCTCCCTTCCCTCCCTGCGGCCTGCCAGAACTGCACCCCTCCCCAGCCCAGCCAGGGCCCCATCCCACTTTGCCTCCAGGTAGATGGAGGAGACACGCACCTCTTGGGCCACATGAACTGGCTGGAGCCCCTGCACCGTGAGCTGCTGCACAGGGCCGGCTTTGGGCGCCTGTGGAGTGGCTTGGACCACGGACCTCTGGGGAGGGAAAAGGCAAGTCAGACTGGTAACCATGGTGCCCCTGGTGGTCCCCCCCATGCCGCCCCTGGTGGCCCCCCCCATGCCGGAGTACCTCGACACCACACCCACATGAACTCCTCATGTAAGGGTCAGGGCAGCCTGGTTGGGAAAGGCCACCATTCTGCCACTTTTCCCTGGCCACCCTTCACCAAGTGCCTTTTAGATTCATCACTGCACTGACTCTGGGTGCCCAGTTACAGGTGTGAACAGAGCTCATCAGAGTGAGGCCCACAGGAAGTGTCAGAACTCAAGCTGAATTTGGGTCTGAGTGAGGGAGTCCTTGCTGTCCCCCCCTTACTCTCTACATGGGTTATCCCACACCCCCACATCCCCACGGTGCCCCGGGAATCCTGATATCACCATCAGGGCCCACAGTGAGGAGCAGAGGCTGGGGCAGATGGGGTGGGGGGTGCTGAGCGGTGGATTAGGACTCAGATCCAGGCCTGGAGGGTCAGAGGGTCTGTGGTACTGGCAGGAACATCTGTGAATCCTTCAGGATGAGGTCTGTGCTTTCCTTTGGGGGAAGAGTCTATGCCTTTCATCTGGTTTTCCGAAGGGTTTGGAACCCTGCAACTTGACTGATAACCCGATGGCAGAGACGCCTTGCCACTTAACCTGCTCCAGCTGCCATGACTGGCAGCTCAGAGCAACAGACTCTGGGGGTCCCCAGAATCCACCCTGTAGTCCGAGGAAGAGCCTCTACCCCTCCCAAAGACTGGCCATGGATTTGGAGGTTGGGCCTCCCGCTGGGCTCCCTGGGGGTAAGCCAGGACTTGGCCTTGGGGCTTCCTCTAGGCAACTGAGCCCAAAGAGGCTGGGTCGTTTCTCAGAGTTTCCAGCGTCTGCCAAAAGCCCAGTATTAGGTGCCCCCCACAATGAGGACCAGATTTCACCCCCCAGCAGCCCCAACCGCCCTGCCCCCAGGTTCCCAGGGCAGAACCCATTATTTAGACGAGGATGCTGAGTCTGGAGTGAGGTAGTGGCGCTTGCCAAAGGCCCGGGTTGGTGGGGGGGGGGCGCTGCTGAGGCTGTCCCCCCATCTGCTTGGCTCCCACCAACTCTCCCCACCACAGCTCCCACAGACAGTTAAGGAGGCTGCAGAGGCTGCCTGGCCAGGGCCCTTTGCCCCAGCCACTGCCCGCCTTGGCCTGGCACCTCTTGGGTGACGGGGACACTCTGCTGAACGCCATGGACCGGCAGCTGCTGCGGCACTGTGCCCGCGGGGGCTGCGGCTGTCTTGCTGGAGGAGCTGTTGGCCTGCACTGGTGACCGCTGCAAGGGAAGGAGACATGGGGGCGTCGTCTGGGCACCCAGGCCCTGACAAAACCCTTTTCAGGAGGGCTCTCCCAAGAGCTGTTGGGGGTGGGTGGCAGGCCACAGAGATCTCAACCTCCTCTCCTGGAAAGTGGTCAAATTCCACGAATCCGAATGCCAAGTCCCTGCCCCGATCACTCCCAGGCAAAGCTGGGGGTCCGGCCCAGAGGTACTGGTAGGGAGACCCATCCTCCCCAGCGAAGATGGCCTCAGCTCAGAGGCCGCCCATTGCTGCCACAATCAGAGAGACTGCAGCCCTCAGGTGAGCAGTCGCAGGTGAGGGAATCCCCACTTAAGAGAGGACGTGCTAAAGCACAGGTGGGAAGGGATGTCCCAAGGCCACACAGCTGAGTGGTGGCACCAGGCACTAACCCCAGGCAGACTGGCTACAGGTCCCTGTTGGCTCTGGGCCATGCTGTGGCACTGCGTATCATCAGCTCTTTCACACAGAAAACACTGGGCTCAGAAGGCTCCAGAGCCCCAGCCAGCATCCCCCAGGAGAAATGGCTGAGCTGGGGCTGTGACCCCAAGCTCCCGATGCTGCCACCCATGCTCCCAGCCGTCTGTGGCCTGCCTACCTCTGACATCCTCACTGGTGTTTGTGGGGGGGGGTCCCCAGAGCCCACCCCTGTAGTCTGAGGAGGAACCTCTACCCGTCCTGAGTGGGGCCGGGGAGACTCCTTTCCTTCCTGGGATACAGAACCCTGAAGTGGAGCTGGGAGGCCCATCTCAACCTGGGGGGAAGCTGCCGCCCCCCCTGGAGCTGGACTCAGCTTACAGCCAGTGGGGCCGCAGATCAGGCAGCCAAGCTGCCCAACCCAGGCTCAGTGAGGACTTTGGAGGAACAAGTGGGCTTGGGGGACAGGGACCCCTCCAGGTGTATGCTGGGGGTACATGGCCAACCTGGGGAGGTACAGGCACAGCTGATGGGGCCACTACCTACCTCAGGGGGTGAGTGCACCTGCTGGGGGCCGTGCACTGTCAGGGAAACCTGGCCACCCTTGCCGCCTGTGGCTGTGCTCTGCACCACTAGACGCTGCGTGGGGAGAGCCTAGAACCAGGAGGGAAAAGAACCACAGTTCACTCCCAACAGCCCGTCTGGTTTTCCCAAGCACAGGGCACCATCCCAGGCGATGCCCCAGTGCTGCACACCTCTTAGCTCACAGAACTGCCCCCAAGTCCCAGTGCGGCCCTGACAGTAACCTCACTTCACAGAGAGGCTCAGGATGGGAAGAGTGCTTGCCCGAAGTCCTGGACCAGTAAGTGGCAGAGTCAGGGTCTGTGTACAGGGAGCCCGGCTCCACAGGCCACGCAGGATGGCTCTCACCCTTGAAGCCTGATGGGACTTTGTCCCGTTCTGTGCTGAGCCCTGCCACCCTGCCCACAGCCCTCTGGGGGACAGACCACCACCACGCACTCACAGTCCCTGTGCTGGCTATGGGCTCTTGGCTCCTAACTGGCATTGGGTTCTCTGCTTTGAGACACTGGGGCTGGACCTGAAAGCCGCCTTCCTCACTGCTACTCCTCAGTTCTATTAAGAGAAGGCGTGCAGGTCGTCCTTCCCCGATGGCCCCTGACTGCCATGGTCTCACTTGCTGGAGGCAGCAGCTGGGGAGGCGCCCGGACAGAGCCTATGTCCTTGATGCTGCTGAGGGCAGATCTGCACAGGCCACAGGGGGTTGGTGGTACACCCAGGGCAGGGGGGTGGGGACAGAGGGAGCACCGTGAGGGCGGGGCTGGGTGTGGCAGCCTTACCTGCTGGGGCACTGGGATGTTGGTGAGCTGGAGGGGTGACACATGGCCCGGCTTGGCCTGCACGCTCGTCTGGACCAGCAGACGCTGTAAGGACAAGGAGTAAGGACCTGAGCCACGCTAGCTTCCCCGGGGAGGCCTGGCCCAGGTGGGTGGGAGGGGGGCTGAAGTGGGCATCTTGATAAGAGCATGGGAACAGACAGGACGCAGTGAAGCCAACCACCCGTGACCAAAGTCACCACCGCCCCCTCACGGACCCTCCCTACCCGCCCCGGGGGGGAGGAGTGTGTCCTACCTGCTGGGTGCCCTGCACCTGCTGAACCACCTGAGTGGGGACTCCGGTCTGGCTGGCTGTGGAGCCTGGGCTGGCCTCTGATACAGTCTCACTGGCCCGCATAGCGCCTTCTGCAAGGACGGGTCACTGGGTCAGCTCCGCCTGTCGTCCCTACCCCCACCCGGAGCCTGAGCCTGAACCCATGAGAATGGATGACGGAGCCCAAAGCTTAACCCCGACAGGGCCGGGCCTCTCCAGCAATCCTGCCTGCCTCCTGGCCAGCCCTAACACTGCCCGTGGGGGTGAGCCCGAAGGACCTTTGATCCTTGCCAGGCAGAAGCAGCCCCACCCCACCCCACCTCATCCCAAAACCAGACTAGAGGGGGTGGCTGAGGAGCCAAGGTGCAGCAGGGGCCCAGAGGGCTGGATCCCTTTTCCCAACAGATAGGATCCGTGGGCAGTCAGGGACTGGCCTCCTACCCTGGAGTCTCAGCAGCCCTAGAAGGACCAAGGGTCTGGGGCCACCTTCCTCGAGATGACTCCTGGCTTCCCAGGAATAGAAGATGGTCTGAAGAGTGACCCTAGAAGGCCTTGCCAGCCTGTGGCCAAGCACGCCCTCCCTCTCCACGGCCCCAGCCTCCCTGTCCTCAGTGGGACGGGGGCAGGAGGGGGCTTGGAGGGGGGCAGGCAGGTACTCACGCTGATAGGCAGCTGAGAAGAGGCAATCGTAGAACATGGTGCCCCTACCCCGCTCCTGCCCCCGTCTCTCCAGGGGAACCTGCCCCACACTCCTCACTCCTCGCCTACCTCTTTGGGAACAGCAGGGTGTGGGGGCGGCTTTATACCCTCAACCTTGGGGAGCTAATCCCCCCCCACCCCCGGTAGATGCAGAGCTCCTCAGCTGCCCTCTTGGAATAAACACCCTCCTCCCCGCAGGCGTGGCCCAAGCATGGCCGTCCCTGGGCTGGGGCCTTGCTATGAAGTCAGGAGGGAGGCTGGTACCTGGAGATGCTATCGGGTGGGCACAGGTCAAGTTTCATGCACATCTCACTGAGTGATTAAGAAGGGAGCTGAAAAGGGGAGAGGCTCAGAGGGCAAGTGTCCTTGAGAGATGCTGGATGGAAGACACCCCCCTCCAATCCCCAGCCAAGACACCATCCACCCTGCCCCCTCCATGGGGCCTGGCTTGCTCCCAGCAGTTCCAGAGGCCAGGCTGGGGCTGTGGGGCGCATATGTGCCTGTCCTTCCTCCAGTCTGCTACCAGGAGCCAAGGTCCCGGTGCTACCTCTTGGGGTGGGGGGGGGGGGGTCCCCTGGCAGGACAGGAGCGGGGTGGGGAAGGAGTAATAGGAGTAACTAGAGTGTTTCCAGTAGCCCAGGTGCTGTGCTAGGGTCTTCCTGGGTAGCTGGAGACAGAAAGAACTTTTATTACCCCCATTATCGGGTAAGGCAAGAGACTGGGAGAGAGGAAGTAACCTGCCCAAGGTCACCCAGCTGGGAACTGACATGCCAGAAGGCTGGCCTGTTATCTGTGCCCACATAACCTCACACCGTGCATGGAAATCTAGAGCCTCAGGTCATGCTTGGGCTGACACCCCGAGGGCAGTGGTGACCAGTAAGGTGAGGGTCTATGGGAACACCTTTTAAGGACCAGAGCATCCCCAGCCTTCAAAGTGAGAAGCTGGGCCTCAGCTATGTGGGGACACAGGGAGAGGGGGCCTGGCCAGGGCAGACATGCAGTCCCAGGTAGATGCAAGGACCTCAGGGACCAAGTCCGGGACAGAGCTCATGAATGTGTTATGTACTGGGTGTAGGGGGAGTGGTGGCCAGATGTGGGAGGTGGTGCTGGGGGAAGCCTCCCATTGGCCACACGTGGGACAGGCACTGGAACCACCTCAGGCCTGCCTGGCCAGCTGCCTCTGCAGCCAATTCCAGGAGACACCATCTCCTCCATTTGGCTACACTCTTCCCCTGCATCTAGTTAGGCTTCTCTGAGCAGTGAGGGAGGGAGCCTTCACTGAGAGGGGCCCCTGGGGAGAAACCCGAGAAAGCCCTAAGTCACGTGTGGGGCCCTGGTACACCTGGGTGTCTGTGTCTGTGGGACATGGGAAGCCAGGCCCAGCCCAAGGAATGGCACCCAACCGAGGCGGCCTCGGACAGGTTTTTGCCTAGTTCAGGGTGGACAGTGAGTGGGGGGCTGGCCCCAGCTACCCGGGCCTGGAGGCTTGGAAGAAAATGCCGAGGCTGATCCTTCAGTTAGTGGGACCCTTAGCATTTGGGAGGCCTGGGGACCTGCTGATATCAGGGATCTGCCTGGGATGGGGAAGCCCCAGGAAAACAGTCTTGGCTGGCTCTCAAGGCTGGGACCCTCACATCTGCCAGGCATGCTGGGCTGTACCCTGAGGATAAGCAGGTGAGATTCTAGAGTCTACTGTCCGGATGAAAGACTTCCTGTGTGTGTACGTCCCTGCCTGCCCGTGTCTTGCCCTCGTTTTGTGTGTGTGTGTGTGTGTGTGTGTGTGTGTGTGTGTGTTGGGGGTTGGAGTATTAAGTCTGCAAGCCTCTTCATCTGTCTGTCCGCCTTCTCCATTCTGGGCATGTGCATGAGACCAGGGAGGGCCCCCGCAGTCTCAAGTCTGTAGTCAGGAAGTGGCAGCTGATTTCCTGTCCCTCAATCTGATGAGCATCTCTTCCTCCCTGGGCCCTGCACTTCCCCACTGAGACCTGCTCACATCTCCAGTGCCGCAAGCTCTGAGGGGGAAGACTGAAGGAAGCCCAAGAGGCTTGATGACGACCTGGGGTCCCACGCCTCATGGATGGCTGGGGGCGGGGGCGGCGTCTGGCTCCCTCCCTCCTGATCCTTTGCTCCTGGAGATGATTTCAGTCAGGGCCTCTGAAAGGGCCAGTGGCTCCTGGGTCCCTTGCCTGTCCTGACCGTTTCCCCAACTGTGATGGGAGATGCTGAGAAACAGCCCCCCATCTCTCTCACGGACACTTGCTGGATTCCCAAGACTCCGAGAGTGAGAGAAGCAGAGAGGAAAGGCCAGCTGCAGGCGTCCCTTCAGCCCAGCGCTGTCTTTCGCAGGCAGGCTTGCTTTTACCTTCCTGGGGGTGGCTATCGGGACCCACAGTGTCCTCCTTCTGCCCCGAGTTTCGGGTGCGAGTGTGGCGGCCTGTGAGGACAGGGCCTTACAGATCTAGAGGGCTGTTCCTGAGCAGGGAAACTGGAGCTCCCTTCCCATCAGCTCCAAAGACACCTTAGGGCAGAGCCCACGAGGACCGGGCTGGATGAGCTGCCTGTGGTGTCGTTCCCAGCTGGCTTCCAGCCTGGGCTCCAAGGTGGGTCTGGGGCCCCGCCTGTCCCCTCCCTGCGCCTCCCCGGGTCCCTGGTCAGCTCAGATTGCTCTGGCTCCCACGGAGCCCCAGGCACCTTGCTGCAGCCTTTACTGGTGTCAGTTACCCTCCACCCCCACCCCGCCAAGCCTGGGACAGGCTCAAGTGGCTCAAAGGCTACCCTTAGCTGAAAAGGGACACTAACCCAGGAGAGGGTCATGGAGGAATGCTGGGAAATCACTGCAAGGGGCGGGGGGAAGGGTAAACGGGGCAAACGGAGTGACAAGGTGCAGCCAACCTCCTCTTCCTCAGAAAAGGTATCAAGGAAGCATCACCCAGTCACCCTTCAGGGGACAGCCTCACTGCCGCTGGAACAGGGAGCAACAGGGCAAAGGACCCCTGTGAAAGGCCGTCAAGGTACCATGAGACCAAAGAAGGAATCCTGAGAGTCGCACCAGCAGCCCATTCACTGCAGCCCAGTAGCACATAGCGGCCTTGTGGTGCGATGGGGGATCCGGGGAGCGGGAACAAAGGCCTTGACCTCTAAGCACCAGAGACCCCCGGGGCATGCAGCAGGAAGAACTGGAGAGGCTGAGGAGGAGAGACGAATGTGACGGGAGTCCGGGTGCTCTGGGGCCTGGAGCCATGTGCCCTCTCCGGACCCTTGCCCTGAGGACCCCGGAGCCCCAAAGCAGCCAAAGCCAGCACCTAGGAGGTCTAGAGCCAACCGGATGCCCTGTAGGCTGACCAAAGTCCTCCAGCAGTGACGGGCGAGGCCTCCCACCTGCTCTCAGCTGCCCGGGGCTAGCAGACTGTGAGGGCTGTGATGGGTCGGGCCAGGCTTCTAGTGGCTGTTCATGGCACAGGGACTCGGTGGACAGAGCCCCACCCTCAGGGACAAGGGATGGACATCCTCACCATCGTCAGCACTTCAGGTGACATAAGTGTTAAGAAGAAGAAAAAGCAAAGTGAGGACACAGGGCGTGAGCAGTGGAGGTGGGGGATGTGGGCGTCAGGGAGGCAGCATCTGAGCCAACACCAGAACACAAGGGCCGAGCCACCAGGGGGTTGGGGACGGAGCGCTCCAGGCAGAGGGCACTGCAAGTGCAAAGACTGGGAGGCCAGACTGAGCCTTGTGGGTTTTTGGCGCTGCGGGAAGGCCAGGAGGGCTGCAGCAGGTGTGGGAGGGGGCGGATGGGGCCGGGTGAGGCTTGGGGGGCTGACAGGCCTTCGAGACCGAAGTTGGGAGGCTAGGAAATTGTCAGCAGGGGATACAGGCAGTGTGGAGCTTTTAAAGCCCTTCCCTAGTGGAAGGGGCCACGGGGGCTATCTGTCCTCAGAGAAGAACGCCAAAGTCAGGGTTTCTCAGGCAGTGACCCCAGGGCCATCTGCCTCAGAATCATCTGCATCGAACTGGGCTGTGTTGGGCTCCCTCCTGGTCACTGCAGGGGTGGACAGTGACCGGCGAGGGCGGAGGTTGAACTGGGTTGGGGGCCCTGGAGGTGGCAGAGGTGGTAGGTTCTGGGAGCAGATGCCGGGACGAGAGGTCTTGCTCGAAGATGGGCAGGGCAGGGATCCATGCTGACCCAGGCCCGGGGCTGCTGTTTGTTAGGATGAAAAAGTCTCGGAAGAGGGTGTGATTGGATGAGGGGAAAAATCCAAGGTTCTATTAGGCAGTGCTGGCTTGAGAGGCCCATTCAATCCTGAGTGGATGCGTCACAGGCTGGGGTTCACGGCCATAGCCCAAGGCACAGGCCGCGATGTGGGCATGTTGTTAGCACCAAGGTGGCAGTGGAAGCTGAGACGCTGGACTAGGCCCCCATGAAGGGCGATGAGGAGGAAGCAGCAAAGGGGATGGAGAAAGGAGGCAGAAAAGTAGGTAGGGACCAGGACAGGAGGCGGTTCCGGGAGGAAGGGGACAAGTATGTCAGGTACTTCCCAGGGACCAAGGAAGAGGAGTACCAAGAATGAGCAGCAGATGGGCAAGGTGGGGGCTGTGGGCGACTGGAGTGACTGGGGTGCAGGAGGGGAAAGGCAGAGGCAGCAGAGGAGAGAGCACGAGTTAAGGAAGGGAGGGTGAATCCTTCAAGGAATTCCGACTTAAAAGGAAGTGAAGACGTGGGCAGCGGCTGAAAGGGTACAGGAACTGGGGTTTCCGATTAAATCGGGAGGTGTCTCATCCCAGCAGGCCGGTGGGAAAAGATTTGCAAGACAGGGACCAAGCGATAAAGCCTTGGAGGGGATGGCCTGGGAGGTGTGAGGCTGGCTCAGGTGAGATGGGGTCCTTCTTGATATGTGGTGGCACCTGTTCCCAGTGAGGTAGGCAGTGGGGTCAGGGGTAAGGAGCACGGAATGAAACAAGATGATGGAGGTGGGGGTGGGTTTCTTGTGTGGGGAGGGAGCATGCTGGTGAGAAAACCTAGCAGAATAACTGGGCAGTGCCGGGAACAGGCTGGAGATTTGTGACCTGGGGACCCTGGCCACGTCCATGGCTGGTGCTCTCACATGACATCCCTCCAGAACCAGTCCCTGTGGTAAAGAGTCACCACCCTCATCCCTCTCTGGGGACCTCGACACTGCCAGGAGCCTAAAGGAGGCTGCTCAGGGCCCCGGCTACACCTGCTCTGGTCCCATGGGGCCATGTCAGCTGCCATGTGTCACTCTATATTGTCCTATCTTCCTAAACCCAGTCTTGACCTGCCCCTTCCACAGCCTCCCAAGATACCTTTATGATTTCCATCCATTCCTTTTCCACTCTGGAAAGATCGGGCCGGGGTGGAGGGTGTGGTTCACCACATTCTCCCCACTCCGCTAAACACACTGGAAGCCATGGATGATGCCCAGTCCTGGTCTGAGCTCCACCTTCTCGGGGGAATGACTGCCTGCCCTGACCCTCTGCTCCCAGTTCCTTCTGCTCGGCCCAGCTCGGCCCATCTCCATCCTGGAAGGAACTGGGGCACAGGGAAGATGGTCTAGGCAGGAATCAGGGTGTCACAACCTGAGCTTCTGGATCACTTTCTCCATGGCTGTAAGGGGAGCCACCGTGAGAAATGGGTCCTTGGCCATATGATCACGAAATTGCCCAACCAATGGCCTCCCTCGGCCCCTGGGTCCTGCCAGAACCGAAAAGGTTGCATCTCGGGAGAGGCCTCCCAGCTGACCTCCATGAAATGCCTCTGTGAACACCTCGCACGTATCCCGAGCTCACGAAGCTGTTACCAGCCCTTTACGGACGAGGAAACAGGCAGAGCGGCCGAGGGTGTGGTAAGGAATAACCCAGGCCAGGAGTGCAGCGGCTGGGTCCTCACCTTCCACCTCCGAGAGAGATGCTTGCGAACTTTAAGTCTCCCACCCAGTCCTTCCCTCAAGTGGCAGTTTACTTGGGGACAGAGACAGAAACAGCCCTAAGAGCTGCCCCAGCGGGAAGGAGTTTAGGTGGATAGAAGCCTCGTTGCTCGGCCTAACGACTCCTTCCCCAGAAACACCCTCCCAAGTCTCACAGGGGAAAGCCAGCGAATTTGAAAGCTGCCATGCTGGTGACAGGCACAGTGACAGAGGGAGGGCATCACTGTGCCCCCCACATCCAGGATGCCTGGCTCCCCAAACTCCTCTCTGAGTTATTCACAGAGCACGCTGGCTCTGAGTGCGTGTCCACTTACCAGAGACGGTGACCACGATGTACTGCTGGGACGCCGGGGACGGGGTGGGTGCGCCAGCCGGCTGCGAGGGCGTGGGGGTGGCCGGCAGCTCTGTCACGTACTGCTTCTGGCTGCCTGGTGGCTGCGCCTGGGGCTGGGGGCTCTGCAGCTCAGTGACATACTGGGGCTGGGGGGTAGCGGCGGTGGCAGGCGGCTGGGGGGGCTGGGGCGCCGCTGGTGGCGGCGGGGGCTGGGGCGGGGCCTGTGGTGGTGGGGCTGGCTGCGGGGCTGCTTGAAGCTCGGTAACGTACGCTGGTGTTGCCATGCCAACAGTGGGGAAAATGATAATAAATAAGGCTTTTTTTCTTCTTCCTTGGGAAGAAGAGGAGGAGGAGGGAAACAGAAAAAAAAAAAAAAAAGGAAGGAAAAGCAAGAATTAATTGACAAGCAGAGGAAACCAGGGACAGTTCCTGGCTCCCTAGAGACACGTTTAGGTTCGTCACTAACTTAATTAAATCTGGAGGCTGGTGGCCAGATCCAGCCAGCCCATCACTGCAGGGGAACTGGTTACGGACTGAGACTGATCTATGCCTCTTCCACTCACCCCAGTCCAGGACTTCTGCCTTCTTCCTCCCCGGGCCCTGGTGCCCGGAGGACCCCTGTGGTAAAGGAAGGTTGGGGAGGGTGGGAGACACACGGTCCCTCTCTCCTGAGGGCTCATGCCCTCATGCAGCCTGTGTGTGTGCTGAATGCTTTCTCTACATTGTTTCATTTTAAACTTTGCAACAACCGTGTCTGGGTTTGGGTCTGCTCCGCCAGATGAGGAGCTGAGGCTCAGAGAGGTTGAGGAACTTGCCCCAGACCACACAGCAGGCAGAGGCGGAATCCTGGGCATTCTGAGCACAGCAGCAGTTGGCTAACTGCTGGAAGGTAAAGTCGTGGGGAAAGCTGCCTTCCGACTGGCCTGTCCCAGTTCCCTACATGCCTGTTGTTTGGGCTTGGATTCTTGGCTGAGTATCATTTCCAGTGGGGCGCCAGAAAGGGAAAGGTGTTTGAGTCCAAAAAGCCCTGAGAGCAGCTTGTGGCCACAGAGACTTTCAGGCCCTTGAATGGACCAAAATGGGCTACGATACCAGATATGAGCTCATCCCAGGAAGAGTGCCCTTCTGAGTCCAGGGGCGCTGGGCTGAGAGCAGGCCCTAGCCACAGGGCAGGCTCACCAGTCACTGCTGACCTCGGAATGGGGCTGGCCCAACCAGGCAGAGGTAGCTTTTCGGGCTGCTGAAGGCTTATATTCCTTCTCCCGGGTCCTGGGCTAGGCAACCCATCCCTCTTGCCTAGTTCTGTCCCTTCTAGCTCATGACCCCCCCATGCCTGTGCTAAGCACCACCCTCTCTCTCACCCCAGCCCTGCCTCATCAGAAGAAGGGCACATGGCTTCCCTGCTGCCCACACTAACCGGTGCCATCCCCAACCCCTGAGCATTTGAGGATGGTGGAACCAACACTGGAGTGGTAACGAGGAGAAGCTCCAGCCCCCATACCTTCGTGGCCCCTGCCTGGCCCAGGGAAGTATTTAAGTTGAATAGTCCTGCCTGCGTTCGGTCGCTGGTAACATTCGCAGGCACTCCAAGCCCCCAGGGCCACGGAGCCAGAGGCCTTTCTGCACTAACCCTGGAGCACCTGTGTGCCATCATGTGCCAGGGGGCGGCCCTCCAGCCACGGGTGTTTAAGAGTGGGATTTGCAAGAGGAGGGGGGTGGGGAAAGCAACTACTGCTGGTTGACCAGAAGCCCCACGAGTCTCTGCTGTGCTTGCCTCTGTCCTGCAGCCCCCTGAGGGAGGAGCCACCGTGACCATTTCACAGATGAGCAACACCGTGTGAAGGGTGCCCAGCAACTGGTAAAAGACGATTTGAATCCAGGTCTCTCTGATCTCCAGATGTGTGCCCTTAGCCCCCAGCCCTACTTGGAGCCAAGCATGGGGCTCGTTTTATTTCTTACACTCAGTAGATAGCATCATCCCTGTATCTCAGACAGGGAGACCTGAGCCCCATCCACAGAGATTAAACACCTGCCACACACAAGAAGAAGTCACTTTCCCCCAGCTCCTGCCCTCCCAAATCCTTCCTGCCAGCATTAGAGGGGCTAGCTACCTCCTGGGGGCTCCTCACACCACTGGGTCCAAATTCTGGTCCAGGCCAGGAGCTGATCAGGTCTGTCTGCCTGGTGTCAGACCCACCTTGACACGAACCCTGACCTGCCTCTTCATTCACAAACATGTTACTGACCTTCCTCTGGGCCTCAGTTTCTCCATCTGTACTGGGGATAATGAGGACACCAACTCAGAGGGCTGTCATAAGGATCCAATGATACAAGCCCAGTACCCAGTAAGGACTGAGACGTGGAAGCCATTCTTATCCTTGTCACTAACAAATGCCCATGCCAGGTGGCGATGGAGAAGCGAGGGGAAGGAAACACACATTCCTCGGGCTCTAGGAAGGAGGTGCCCAAGGGGAAATCCAACTCTGTTGGTGTTCATCAGCATCACCTGCATAGCTAGGTAAATGCAGATTCCTGAGTGCTTCTGCCCAAGGAGTCTGGGATGGCCCCAGAGTCTGCTGTTTGAGCTAACTCTCCCTCAGGATGATTCCAAGCTTGCTGGCCTTGAGGGAACGCTCTGGAAAACCCTGGCCTGGGCTTTCTGGGCCCTAGCAGAGCGTGCTCCCTTGGTACCGCCCACAAGGAAAGGGCTTTCAAAGCTCCACACTTGCCGGTGTTTGCTCCTCCTTGAGCTACAAAGCCCGCATGCCCCATCCCTTCCACTCAGGGGCAGGGAGGTGACATCGAAGACTGAAAGGCCAAGCTTGAAAAGGTGAAGGGGAGATTAATGAAACAGTTAAACCCACTTCTCTATTGGAGGCCCTCTTCATTGTCATTGTCAATCTCTAGGAAGGGCAATTCAGGATACCAAGTGTCCCACAATTATTCGACCAGGGAGCCCTTTCCTTTCCATGTGTGGATGACTAGGGCAAGCAGAGGTCTGCAAGGTGCTCTCTAGAGAGAAATAAGTCACAAATATTTAAACAGTATGAGATCCCTTTCTTTCCAGAGCAGGGAACACGAAACAAGGAAGTCCCTCAACAAATTTGTTCCTTGGCAATGAAACTGCCAAGAAAAGCACCAATGGCTGCATCTAACTTCAAAGCCAACAGCTGTTTTTGGAGAATGTTTGAATCAATTACTTCAGATCAGGGCCAGCAAACTTCTGGAAAGGGCCACAGCCAAAACTTTTGCCTTTGTGGGCAGACAGCCTAGCCTCTGTTGCAACTAGTCAACTCTGCCACTGCAGTGGGAAAGCAGCCATAGATAATATGTAAACAGACGAACATGGTTATGTGCTAATAAAATTTTATTTATAGACAATGAGATATGAATTTCATATAGTATCACATGTCCTGACATTTTATTTGGGCCACAAAATTTTCTCTTTTAATTTTTTCCTCAATCATTTAAAAGTATAAAAAAAAATTATTCTTAATTCACAGGCCACACAAAACCAGATGGCAGCCACAGTTTGCCGACCTCTGGTTTGGATTCCAGATTCTATAACCGAATGGTTTATGTCTTGCACAAGGCCCTCCCAAGGAAATGGAAAGAAAACTCCCTTTCCTCATCTGCAGAATGGCTCTGTTGAGGAACACTGCAGTGGAATAGGGAAAATAAATATAAGGATGTAGGTTTCCTTCATCTTCCATATCCAGTTAGTTTTCAGGACTTCTCAATGATTCCTTCAAAATAGATCCTAAAGCTGGACACTTCTCTCCACCTTCATCAATACCCTGCTACTCTGACCTGTCTCCATCTCTTTCCTGGACCCCTCCAACATCCTCATTACTGGCTCCACGCTCCACTCTGGCCTCTGTAGTCCTTAAGATCCTTTGAGGGCACCTGGATGGCTCAGTCCGTTTAGCATCTGCCTTTGTTTTGGGTCATGAACCTAGGGTCATGGGATCAGGTCCTGCATTGGGCTCTCTGCTCAGCGGGGAGTCTGCTTCTCCCTCTACCCCTGCCCCCTGCTTGCACTCTTGCTCTCTCTCAAATACCTTTAAAAAAAAAAAAAGATCCTTTGAAAGCACAAATCATATCTTGTTGCCCTTCTATTCAGAAGGCTCCACAGCTCTTATCACAGAGACGAAATAAAATCCAGAGCCCTTCCCAAGCATTATGGGGCCTTGAGGTCCCTCCTATCTCACCTTGAATGTTCTAGTCAAACAGGCTCTTGCTCCTAGAATGCTCCAGGCCTCCTCCTCCTGCCTCAGGACCCTTGTACCAGACTCTTCCACCTGACTGACATGCTCTCCTCACCTCTACCCCCATTCTCCGCTGCTGGCTACTTATCATTCAGATCTCAGCTTATATGTCACCTTCTTGGGTCTCAGGTGTGCTCTCCTCCCCCAACCCCAAGTACTCTGAAGCACACACTCTTATTTTGTTTTCTTCCTGGCCCTGTATTTCCTTGTTTGTTTATTTTCCTATTCATAGTTCCCCTTTCCTCCATGACCAGAAATACAAGCTCCTCAATGGCAGAGACCCTGCCTGCCTTGCCCATTACTGTACCTCCAGCTCCTAGAACACTGATGGGCACATAGTAGGAGCTCAACTTTTACTGTCAAATACGTGTCCCCATGCCAGGAGCACCTTGCTAGTAAGTGTCAAAGGCCAGTTTGAGTTTACCAATTGATGAGCCCTTGTGAACCAGTTCCTGCCTCCTGCCTCTGCCGGCAGCAGGCTTAAGCAGCAGAGGTGGCTGGTGCCCAATGGCCCAGAATGGGGCGCCCGGCCCAAGAAGAGCACTGTCCAGTGGCTATCTGCAGACCACGTCCCTGGAGAAGTCTGCCTGGCCCATCCCCGAGCTATTGAGACGTACATGGGGAGGGAAAGGCAAGGACTTCAGCTCCATTCCCACGACACCCACACCCCTGGCTCACCCAGCTGCCTCTTGGAAGCCTTGGGGCTGAGTCTGGGCCCAGGCCCAGGAGAATTTTTCTTTTTGGCTACTCTCCTAAAGCGGCAGAAAGGCTATTCAGGAGCAAGGGGAATGACATTTTCTCACTAGAAACTGGAGTCCTGGTATCCAGCTTCCTGGGATCTCTGTCATCTCTGTCACCAGCCCACACAGCCCAGCAAGTGAGTCAACCTTTTAAGCCACTAGGCTCTCACCCAATTCAAAATGATAAAAATAAATGCGAGCAGTGTAATTCAGAGAGCTGAGCAAGAAGGGCCAATCATGAGAACAACAGTGGCAGCTAAGAGCATCTGAGCAATTACTAGGTATCTGATGCTCAACGTGTATTCTTTTACGGGATCCATAACACAGTGATAATGAGCTTAAAATGATTACCATTGATCACTGCCCCTAGCTTAGACAGGAGGAAACTGAGGTCCAGAGAAGTAAAGTAATGCATCCACGGGCACACAGCTAGAAAGCAGTTGATTGTTTCCAAAAGCAAACCAAACCAGTGCTCTCTACCCTCGTGGAAAGACCCCTTTGGGCTTGGGCCCTTCAAATACAAAAGTTACGGCAGGGGAGAGGCAGTTAACAAGACTAGGTGATCGGTAGTATCACCTTCTGCTCAAAATTTGCCTTTCCAACAGTGGTGATGACCTTTCAGGCAGACCTGGCATTTCCATATTGGTACTGAAAATTAATCTCCACCCTTCCTAAGCTTCAAAGGGGTCCTGTCACCTCTCAAAGAGGACCTGGTCTAGAAAAAGTCTCTGGAGAAGTGAGACACATCCCCCCCCACGCAACCTTATCTCAAATTCTTGAGGGAAAGCTTTAGGAGAGCCTGAAATAATTCTTCTCCTTGAAGTTTAATGATTTTAAAAGAAAAAGGCTGAAATTTGCACACCACCACTCTGCTCTGCTGATGCCAAGCTCCAAAGCAAGACAGAGAATAAGCAAAGTGGACTTGGCCCAGCTGGCTGTTTGAAAAAAATAAATTCTTCCCCAAGCTGGCAGATCCTGTTTCCCAGCAAAGCGTTCGCTCAGATTCTCCTGTAACAAACATGGAACACTTCCCTCTCCCTCTGATCTTGATGTCCTGCGCCTGCCCACGTGGCTCTGGAGGCTGGTACCTCCTCAGTGACATGTGACCCGGTTGACACCAACTTGACTGACACAAAAACATGTGTCTGGCCAAGAGAAGCAGTTTAAGAAATCTAAGAAACTTCCTCGGCGCCATTTGCTAACCATCCCCAGAAGGGGAGACCTTGATGGCCTGAATGGTTAGAAATCAATCCATCTCCAGAAAACAAACCTTCTGCTCAGGGACACCAGACCTAAGAGAACAGCCCATGGAGAAGCATTGAAGTTTCTGTGCTGTCTCAGTCACCCGAGATCACTCCTCCCTGCCATGGGCTCCGATTTCTGCAAACTAAATCCTCCCGGCTAAAGCCATATTCCTAGCCCACAGCTTCTCCATGAAACTTTGTCTCCCTTTGCCTTCTCTCAGAGAGAAGAAGGCAGATTTATGAGCGGACAGCAGTGTTTGAAATTAAGATTAGCTAACAGTTCTATCAAACCACATTCAAAAACAGCGCATGGGGTAAAAGTTCAAAGATGAGCCCTAGAGAAATTTCTGAAAGGAGTTAGGAGTCCCTGAAATGCAGAAAGGGGACGACAGCAACGATTCTCCCCACTTCACAGGATGGAAAACTGAGGCCTGAGATGTGGCAGACACTGTGTACCAGGAATGACTGGGCAAGGGGAGGGGGGATTCTAAAGCGACGCGGCACAGGTGGCCTCCCATCCCTTTGGCACGCTGTAAGGCCCAGGCGGCAGGTGCCCCACCCGGCTCCCCCCAACCCCCCCGGAACCCGTCGGCCCCGCCCACACCTACGACCTGGTCCCGCCCACTCACCTCGGCCCCGCCTCGCCCCTCCCTCGCTCCCATTGGCCCAGCCTCCCCAGGCCCGCCTCTCCGCACCTCCCAAGATATAAAAGCCCCCCGCCCCGTCCCGCCGACCTCCACTCGCCGCCGGCCTGCTAGCGCCCGCCCCTTGCGGGGGCTGGGCCCCGGACCCCAGGGGCGGGTGGTGTCGCCCCAGCCGGGCCCCGGCCCCCTCCCCCACGGCCCCGACAGTCGCCGCCGCCATTTTGACCGACCGCCCCTTCCCCCCGGACTATGATTACAGCGACACCCGCCGCCCGGGCCCCGCCGCCCTCCCTGGCCCGGCCCGCCACCCTGGGGCTGCCTCGGTTACCTCGGCTTCTTCCTACTTCTGTCCGCAGAAGGGCTTTCCAGAGGTCTCGGAGGCGATGTTGGGAGGGGGACGGAACGTGCCGGGGTCCCTGGGCCGGGTGGGGGGGGTGGGGGTGGGGGTCGGCCAGGCGGTTGTTGTTGTTGACTCGCGTTGCCGGGTTGCTTGGTCGCCACGACTACCGTGGCTATGGCGCCTCCGTTTCCCTCACCGGGGCAACTGTTGCTACCCACCCTACACACGTCACGGGCGGGGGCGGAGTCCCGGGTGATTGGCGGTGCCGAGAGAAGTGATTGGACGGGCCTAGGTCCTGCTCCTAAACTATTGGTCCCAAGTCACGCTTTTCAACACACTCTCGACTTCTCGGCGCTCTGATTCATCGGTGTGCATGTCCATCAAAGGAAACTGAGCCCTCAAAGGCAGGAGAACCCGTCACTCCCGCAAGGAAGCCGCGGCCTAAGAATAAAGGGGTGGGGTCTGTGAGGTAGGGATTGGTTTGCGGCTGTAAAACCTGCCTTATGTTTCCCCTAAGGGGACGTCAGTCTATTCCAAAGGTTTGCCGCGCTCTCTAGCTGGGAACCGTGCGCATGCGCGACACGCAAGGCCAACTGGGAATGGTAGTCCGCTCTGCGTACTTTAAACGCCTTACCAACTATAAAAGGCGAGAAAGGAAAGCTCTGTTCCTTCAGACTGCTCGTTTCCCCGGCGGGTCAGTTCCTGGCATCGCGCGCTTACGTCGCGGGAGGAATATGGTGACGTGCCCTGTTCTTCTGTGACGTCAGCTGCGGGGGCCGGGCTAGGGGTTCGATGACGTCACTGGGCGCTCTTACCCTACCCTCATTGCCCTCTGGCGGTGGGATGGTCGTGGGGAACCAAGGTGGGGTTCGGTCCCAGGTCCCGTCCCCTGAGCAAACTTCCCCCGCCGCCCCACCCGCGGCCACCTCTGTCTAGACCCGGCCTCCGCGCCTGCTCCCGCTTCCCCGCCCTCTCCAGCCGGGAAAGGTCACAGCTGCCGGGACAGCCGCGGCTATCTCGGCCCCGCAGGCGGTACGGAGGGCCCTGGGAAAGGTCTCCCGCAGGCGGTGGATTTAATTAGAGGCTTCTATCGGGGGCGATAAGCAAAGGTCGGCACCCAGCCCCTCTCAGGGGAGCTCCGGCTGCCCTTCAGGGCTCCACCCCGCCCCCCCCCCATTGCGCTCCCCAACACCGTCCTCCTCGCCTCAGTTTCCGCCGGCGAGAAGAGACAGAAGCGGGTTAAGATTAGGGTGAGCTAGCCTCTGGCGCAAAAACTCAATCAAGATAAATGACATTCTAATCCACTATTTTTTCCCAGTATTTTTTAAGTATCAAAATTAATGGGAAAAAAATCCATGAAGAGCAAAATACCGAAATTTTAAATAAAGGTAAGATCCGCCAAGACTGAGATTAAGGTAAGGTGAGTCATCCAAGTGTAGGATCGGATCTTGTCTTTTACTTCTCTAAAAACAAAACCGTATTTTATTTTATTTTTTTTAAAGATTTTATTTATTTGACAAACAGAGATCACGAGTAGGCAGAGAGTCAGGCAGAGAGAGGAGGAAGCAGGCTCCCTGCTGAGCAGAAAACCTGATGCGGGGCTTGATCTCAGGACCCTGAGATCATGACCCGAGCTGTGAAAGCAGAGGCTTAACCCACTGAGCCACTCAGGTGCCCCAAAAACGTATTTTAATCATTGAATTTTTTTTGCTTTAATTTTGATTTTTCAAAATATTATCTTGATAAGTGAGGGTTTTGGTACCCCGCTCTTCAAATTTTGCGCCCTCGTCTCCACCAGAAGTGGTGAGGAAAATAAAAGCAAAGGCTCAGAGCCCATGGTTCTAATTCCACTCTGGCTGTGTGACAATGAGACAAAGTGTCTCTATCTCCGAGCTTGTTTCCTGGTTCAACCAATTTCACACTTCCTCTGTGCAAGACCTGGGCTGTAAAAATAAAGAAAGCAGACAAATCCTTAGACCTTGCATTCTACCAGGGGAGACACAATCATTAGTGAAATTAATACATGAGATAGGTTTCTGCGGGCTGTAAGAGCACCATAAGAGGATGTGGGGAGGAGTGAGAGAGGGTGCTGGAGCCTGTGTCCCTGGAGGAGGGGTCAGGCAAACTGAGCATTGAGTAGTGAGAAGCAAGCCCCATAAAACCAAGTTGGAGGGAACTGCAGAGGCAAAAGCCAGGCAGGGAAGGAACAAACATCTGGCTGGGGGAGAATGAGCAAAGAGAAAAGTGTCAGAGGTGAAGTCAGAGAAATACAGGTAGCCAGATGACTTCTCAGATATCCTCCCAACAACTCAGCAAAGTGGAATATTCCCCCCAATAGATGGGTAAACAAGCAGCATCTCAGAGGGGGAAGGTGCTCCCTTAGGATCACAGGACTGGAGGCAGCAGAGCCTAGACAGCCTGTCTCCTTTTCTGGGACTTTCCAATGTGCTTTCATGCCCCTGGATATGAACCTCGAAGGAAGAAGCGATGCAGCAGCAGTCCCAACCTGCCTGGAAACACTGGCTGAGCCCCAGCCCTGACAAGTCCCCCCAAGAATTCATGAGACTTCTAGGCATAAGGTGTCCAGGATAAATCCGAGCTGGCAGGGCAAGTCACTCAGCCCTGCAGATGCTGTGTGACAGGTGGAGGTCCCAGGGCCAGTCCTGTGGGGAATGGGAACTAGAAGCCCTATTTCCACCTCCCACCCATTTCCCCACCTTCCTGGCATCCCTAAGCCCCAAGGTGGGCACAGCCAAGCCTGAAAATTATTTCTTCAATCACAAATATTCATCATAAGCCTTTGTGGCAGGGAAGACAGTGTGGGCTAGAAGTGTTCTAATTTTTTTTTTTAATCTGATAGTACTTGCATGGGTATATAAAGATGCCCTGAGCTCTCCATTCAAAGACCATGTACTTGGGGCACCTGGGTGGCTCAGTGGGTTAAGCATCTGACTTTTGATTTCAGCTCAGGTCATGATCTCAGGGTTGTGAAATCAGGCTCTGTGTAGGACTCTGTACTCAGTGTGGAGTCTGCCTGTCCCTCTCCCTCTGCTCCTCCCCTTGCTCACACTCTCTCTCTCAAGTAAATAAATAAAAAAAATTATTAAAAAATCTGTGCACTTTATGTACGTTATGCTCCAATTTGAAAGTTAAAAACACGTACACATACTATTGAAAGTGGCTGTTTGACCAACGCCCTTCAGACACACTGGTACTTAAAAGTAAGGGATTAAGGATGGTCTTGCCTCCCCAGTGTTAGCTGTAGTGGTCACTAACAGCCCAAGAAGAATGCCAGCTTAAAAATTTAGGAGGGGGCTCCTGGGTGGCTCAGTGGGTCAAAGCCTCTGCCTTCGGCTCAGGTCATGATCCCAGGGTCCTGGGATCGAGCCCCGCATCGGGTGCTCTGCTCAGCAGGGAGCCTGCTTTCTTCTCTCTCTCTCTCTCTGCCTGCCTCTCTGCCTACTTGTAATCTCTGTCTGTCAAATAAATAAATAAAATCTTTTAAAAAAAATTTAGGAGGAATGGGAGAATTAGAAAAATCCCCATTTTCTGGAGCACCTGGGTGGCTCAGTTGGTTAAGCGTCTGCCTTTGGCTCGAGTCATGATCCCAGGGTCCGGGGATTGAGCCCCACATCGGGCTCCCTGCTTGATGGGGAGTCTGCTTCTCCCTCTCCAGCTCTCCCGTGCTTGTTTTCCCCCTCTCGCTATTTTTGTCATAAATTTAAAAATATGTATTTTTAAGATTTTATTTATTTATTCAACAGACAGAAATCACAAGTAGGCAGAGAGAGAGGAAGGGAAGCAGGCCCCCCGCCAAGCAGAGAGCCCGAAGCAGGGCTCGATCCCAGGACCCTGGGATCATGACCTGAGCCGAAGGCAGAGGCTTTAACCCACTGAGCCACCCAGGTGCCCCAATAAATAAATAAAAAATTAAAAAAAAAGAAAAATCACCATTTTGCAAAAGTTGAGGAAATAATTGATTTTGGCAGTGATCATCGGTGGGCATTATAAAGTGTCAGGTGAAAGGATGATAGGGAACAAAACACACACAGGGTGCCGGGTGGCTTGCTGGCTGTAGGAGAGTGGACTTCATCACGGAAGCCAGACTGTCACCAGCGTTAGTTGCAATGAAGCTCCGCACCACAGGAAAGGGACCTGTGGCCTCAGAAGTAAGTTCATAGCTTCCCCTATGACACATCTTGCCAAAATGTTAAACCTGACTCTGATTCTCTCAACCTAACATCCAGTTTGCACAAAATGGAAAGAATAGAGACAAATGTCCACATCAGGGGCCCCTGGGTAGCTCAGTCTATAGGGCATCTGACTCTTGGTTTTGGTTCTGGTCGTGATCTGGGGGTCATGGGATCAAGCCCCTTGTCCGGCTCTGAACTCAGCAAGGAGTTTGCTTGAGATTATTCGTCCCTCTCCCTCTGCCCCTCCCTGCTCCTCTAAAATAAATAAAATCTTAACAAAACAAAACCAACAACAAAAAACCAAAAAGCAAAAGAAAACATCAGGAAGCAACAGACAAATCCAGAGCAGAGGGTGGGGTGTGTCTTCAATAAGTCAGTCCCGGAAAAAAGGGGGGATTTTCCAGGGCCAAATTGCTCTTTGTGGCGAGGGACTGTCCTCTGCATCATAGGATACTGGGCAGTATCCTGGCCACCATGAGACACCAGGAGCACCCTCCCTCTCTTGCCAAATTGCTCCGGCTAACATTTCCAGTACTGTGTTGAATAAAAGTAATGGCAACAGGTGCCCTTCTCTTGTTCCTATGTTAGGAGAAAAGCTTCCAGTGTTTCACCAGTGAGTATGATGTCTGCTGTGGGCTTGTCAAAGATGGCCTTTATCAGGTTGAGCTATTTTCCCTCTATGCCCAGACTGTTGAGAGTTTTCATCATGAAAATATATTGAATTTTGTCAAATGCTTTTTTGCATCTATGGAGATGATCATATGACTTTTATCATTTTGTTAATGTGGTGTATCACATTGATTTGCAAATACTGAGCCATTCTAGCATCCCTGGAATAAATCCCTCTTAATCATGGTGTGTGATCCTTTAAATGTATTG